TCCAGATACTGTTTGGTTTCCCTGGGATTGCTACCAGATTAATGGCAAATCCGTTTGCTACTACTTCTAGCAAATGCCTTTTAGTTGTAAAAAATATATAATTTCTGTATGTACAGACCACTTTTCTTCGCTTTGACAGTTCTTGGTAAAGATCGTTGTTAGGGCCCTTATTTATTGGACATTCCAGTAAGATATGGATGTTACTATACTCCTATTTTATGAGGATGTTTGTTCGTTAGACAATGCCCTTTTCACACTCTGATAATTGTCGTTAGATACCTCCTATCTTATAGGAACTTACTGGCTTATAAGCAGCCACACCTCTTATGGATGAGACCTCCTTCCATTCTTGCTTCCGTTTGTTCCTTAATTGTGACTTCATATTCGGGAGCACATATTTTTGTCCATTTCTACTTTCGATGTTTGCCAGGACGTCAGCGGTTTGATTTCCCTTGATCTTGCAATGTCCTGGGATCTCTACCAAATGCCTTGTAGAGATGTATAGTTTTGTCTGTTTGATTTCCCTGGGATTAATGCCTAATCCTTCTGCTACTGCTTCTATCAAGTACCTTATAGTATTCAGAGATGTATAGTTTGTGTTTGATTTATTTCCCTGGGATTCCTACCAGATTAATATCAAATCCATCTGCTACTGCTTCTAGAAAGAGCCTTATACTATTCAGAGATGTACAGTTTATGCCTGTTTGATTCCTTGGACCTTGTAATGTCTTGGGATCCCTATCAGATGCCTTGTAGTTTTCAGAGAAGTATATTTTCTGCCTCTTTGATTTCCCTGGATGTTGTAATGTCCTGGGATCCCTTCCAGATACTATTTGGTTTCCCTGGGATTGCTACCAGATTAATGTCAAATCCGTTTGCTACTACTTCTAGAAAAGGACTCTGCAACACACCCATCGTCTGCCGCTACCTTCGAGACCGACCCTACCTTCGCCCCTGGCACTCCGATAATCTTATTCTGATTAGGCGGATGGACGCCCCCCTCGCCATCCGCCCAGCACGTCTGATATCCGAGCAGTCTTGAATCGCGTCTATGTATAGAATCGGCACATCGAGAGTGCTGCCCCGGTCAGTCGATTCGCGTCCGTCAAGTGTGTGCGTGTCTCCTGCAGCCCCGTTCTGCACGTGGATTCACCCCCCGATCCACAGGTAGGCCCATCGGGACGTCTCGTCGCCCTAACGGCAGCGTCGCCGCCCTGCGACTCCCTCGGTGCGCGCGTCGCCTCCCGATAATTAATTTGACGTGCCGTCGTTGCCGCGGGTTGCCATATCGGGACGCAAATCCGACGCGCGGGGACGGATTTTTCGGCGACGGAGGCGTTGCGTCACCGACGTCGGCGCCGTTCGGCGGTTTGGATACACAGGGTGGTCGGTCTTCGGACGATCCGGATACTACGGGAAAAATCTTTTCTTTTGTCCACTCAATTCTGATTCCGTTTTTTTTATAGATCCTAAAGGATTCAAACAAATAAAAAAAATATATTTAAAATAAAAACTAAATAAGGTGCCTCCAAAAACAGTCAAAACAAAAATATGCCTTATAATAACAAAAATATATCCCTCATTCTAATGGTGAGGATTAGCCCAAAAGCCCAGGACTTGTGCGGTAGAGGGGGCGGCGTATCATTATTCATTAGGCCACATTTGGCCGAATAATTCAAGGAAGCTTGTCGTATTTTTGTGGTTCTCTCATCATTAATAACAAAGACGAACACGTAAATAACAGCAACTATACACACAATTTACTTGGCATTATTTCATCAGGTAGCCTCTTGTATGGTAATATTGTTTATAATTTTGTAATTCTAAGTAAAATATGGAAATAAAAAGTAATAGTTCTTTTACGTGATGGCTCTTTGTCAAGGCTGATAATAGAACAGCAAGAACACAGGATATTTTTTTTAATGATTGCATTTTTCAACAATTTCAATATACTAGGCAATACAACAATTTCAATATACTAGTTGTGTATTGACTTAAGCAGAACAATTTGCCTACAGTGTAATCACATATGAAAATACAGCATTGTATCGATTTCCATCTTCTTTTTTTTTATTATCATAAATTTGAGTCACATAATTATGATTATATCGCAATCAGCTACACGATGCAGTATTCCGAAAATGAATTTAAAAAATGACAGGCTTCTTTTTCATTACCACAAACATTGGCAAGTTACCAACTACAATTTCGTGTAAAATTTGCGTTAAACAAACAAATGATTGCATATATTGGTAGTTTAATCTGCCGGATAACAAGTACCTATGACTGAAGATATTTTAGAAACGGAATTAAATTTGAAGTTACTTACGCTTTCCCATATTTAACCATATCTGTTGTATCTTTATGGTTTACTTTAGAAAATACCATCACTTGGTGACTAAGCGTGTTAAAAATAACCCGAATTTCAAGAACAGATGTGGAGAAAAACACAAATTTAAAAATATATCTATCTATCTATCTGCTCTAAATATCTATAATTCACAATTTTCTCTATTTTCTGCACATCACAAACCTTCAAATTTTCAAATTATGGGTGCTCTATGTTCCCAGCAGACAAAGGCTGTTAGCAAAATTCACTACATACGAACAATTCTTTTATTTTAGCTAATAAATGATTATTTATTGAAGCAAGTATACTCGAAATTGTATTAGTTAACCTATAATTCAGACGCTAATATAAATTTACTTCCTTTTTCTTTAAAGAAGGTGTTTCATTATTGAAAGTTTTAACATCAAGTCAAATTCCGTGGAATAACTTTGCCCGAGAAGCAATGAACTTGATATTCTAAAATTAGAAGCGTTATAAATTCGACTCTTGGGCTATATCGCATTTCATATACTCTGTGTTTTACTCATAAATTTATTTTCAGTTTTCACTTTATGGAAAAAATAGTCATACGTCCGTATACAGGTTATGCTGGTCAAAATAGTAAACTATTTGAATTATTTTTGTGTGTATTCTTTCTATTATTTTATTATTGGTACGTACATTTATCCCATGTGGTGACTTCATAATATTTCGGGTCTGTTTGTGTCAAATTTAACATATCTTGAAATAACACTGCTTTAAAAATACCAAAATGTCCGCGATTGAAAATTTCTGCGAGTAATTATTATTTTATTTGAAACGTACGAAGTGAGTAATGCAAAAGATATTTTTTTTATCAAACATCGTACGCTGCAAACAAAAAACATCAATAATGCCGAAACAATATGAACTACTCGCTATTTATTTATCAAAATAATGTATAGTGTGTTCCGTTAGAAAAAATTAAATTTAAAACGTGAAAAAATTGATCTGGTGGAAATTAATCTTAAATAGATCCTAAACGATAAACTTAATACGTTTCTGTACAACAGAAAACGGTTTTATCAAGTTTTACGCCAAATTTTCAAAGCAGATCGTAAACCAACAAATTGCTGACATACCTCTAGCAGGTCTTGGCACAGCTTACGCATTTCCATTGTTTAACTTTTTACACAGCCATCTTACACAACAAATAATATTACCTATGTAGTGCGACGTTTATTAATCGTTAAAATAAATCAATAACATTGTTGTCACTAAATATAAAGGCACTTGGCAAAGGATTTCTAAAGTTACTAGCGGTTACATAAGACGTGCACAGTATATTTTGTTTTTTCTATTAGGTACAGTCATTTTTCTAGCAAATTTACTACTTGTAATGAAAATCAAAGCAGAAAATTAATTTTATTCGGCGTTAAAGTTGTAAACATTTATACCTACAAAGTTTTTATATAATTTTGGCAGCTATTTCTGGCAAAATAATTTAAGTTATGATAGCAATAAGATTGTGGTAATTGGAGAAAATTTAGAGCACACATTTTTCCAATTATCTTTATTCCAAAAATAACTATTTGACACTTAAATCTATACGTCTACTTCATCTGGTCATATTACAAATACACAAAACTTTTCTTTCAAAAAAATCATCGTTTAAAATTATTTTCACTGTCTGCATAATTAAATCACACGTAAATCTTATTTCCGTAAGCTTGTTTAAAAAGTTGAAACTTTTCCATGAAAGTTTTCCCCAGTTTCAGGCAAAATTTTAAGTTGCATCGTTGCTCCAGAAAATCGCGCATTTCAAAAATCGTCACTAACACTTAAACGCGTTGCACTGAAATAACAATATCGCGAAATCTAAATGAGACATCAACAATCCAAGGACATGTGGTTATGCGCAACGCAATGCTGCCACTAAATATCCCCATTAGAGCGTAATTCTAAAAGTCCGGTTAATTTCTGAACAGACCTAGTATAGACTATTTTATTACCATATAAGTTCATTCAAATTAACTTTTAGTTTTCAAATAGTCTTATTACACCGCCTATGCAATTTTCAGATATTCGGCAGAAGCCACGCCGTCAATCTTATAATAGATTTTGGCAGTATAAACGTGGATACAGAAAAAGTAAACATATAAATGTGTTTGTCAGTTTCAAATAGCGATTTTAAAATAACATTTAGGCTAACTCTCTTTCAACTAACCCGTCCATAATCCGTGATAAAATAATCTATGTGCAGATAACGGAGAATCACCGATGGCAATAAAAAAGGTGCCGAATTGTTAAGGTGCTATTTTCGTACCGATTTTATTATGGGAAGAAATAAATCATAGATGTTTTTGTAAGTAGATTTACATTCAGTTATTTTCGTAACCACTATTTTCATATCGCGTATGTACAACGGTTGATGTATTTTATATGAAACCCAAAAACTGCAACATATGCTGCAATGTAAGCTATTGTTTACTAAACGGCATTGGAGCAAATAAAAGTGAAACGTTTCTACGACAAATACAGAAATACCGATCACCCTGTAGAGCAAAAAATGTGAAATATTGTTTCTAAACACGCAAGAGGTCAAAAAACGTCGGTCTAGATCTGGATTCGCTTACAAATGAATAGTTAATCTAATTCAAGTGAGTAATTCTTTAATTATTCAATTTTTCAGGAGTTGACACAACGCCTGGGTGACGACAAAACTATTTCCGAGCATTTGAAACTTCCGATACAACGTATAAACGACTATCAGCTTCTGTTAAAGGTAAGACAGTTTGTAAAACTAAAAAAAATAACTGTGACGTACAGGTTAATTCACTTAACATTTTATCCTCTTTTATATCTAGGAAGAAATGGTAAAGGTCAAAGCTTTATTGCGATATCAAAGAATTTTTCGCTATAAACCTCGAAGTAAGTCAGTTCTTCATATAATTTTTTTTTCATACGGGCCTTCGTTAACAAGTTACGGGCCCTCAAAGGTGAAAATTAAAAAGTTATTTTTATTTACAGTCTCTAAACTATTAACTTCAGCATGATGCAAATTTGGTGATCGATAACACATGCGTACATCTTGTTTTTGATGTTGTAAGTGAAACTTCATTATGCCCAGAACGCCAGGGACGGACTATGCCCAAAGGTTAACAACCCAGAATTTTTGCATAGGTGACGATCGCAATCTGCCTGCATCAAAAATCAGTTTCCTGAAGAATTTACCAACGAAAATACCTTCTTGGTTCAATTCGGATTAACAGTATAGGAAATATTTGTGATTTTATGTCACAGTGCACATCGAGCGGCGCCTCCACCATTTTTGTTTTTAATGTTTAACTGGACATTTTTGTATCAAGTACCGGGACACCCTGTATGTATGTCCTTTGTCAAAAATATAAAAATATTATAAAACGCCTTTCATAATAAGATATTTTTTTTACAGAAAAATTAAAGATTTGTTTAGTAAATTTAACAGCGGAAACATACGAATTGGTCATGGCCATCTTGACTATATGCAGGATTAGTAAATATATCAAAATATTGCGCACACTTTCAAAGCAAATTTGTGTCATCATGTGCATATAACTGTAATCAGAAAAAAAAGAGGATTCGCAAAAACAACAAATATATCTAGTGTTCCATTTAAAAAAACTATGGTTTATATCTTCGAAACGCATGTCAATTGTTTTTTTTTTTAATTGCTTTGAAGTCGAAATAAAAGGTCCTAAATCCTTGATCTTCACCACTATTCCGTAGGTAGAGAGGTATAAAATTAAAAACGAAAAATCTTGAAGAAGAAATCGTCCTACTATTTTAGTACCAAATGATTCAACATATTCAATGACAGCCAACTTCCTGGAAAACGATGTATTTTTATTTCTATTTCCACTAGGACATATAAATTAAATAGCGTGAGTTTTTTTAAATCCTAGGTATTATCCAAATTAAAAACATCGGGTGTTATTTTACATAAAACCACACTAACACAAAATAAACTAATAACAGTAATATTGTACCTATGTTCGTATTTTGGAACATATTGTTAATATATTTAGTTTATTTCACAAATGACTAATTTGGAAGAAGAGTCCTTCCTGTGCACTAAGTGGCTGGTCATTAACCCAGATGTCAAAAATAAAAATTTCACTACTTCCCACCTGGACACTTATTTCTATTTGCATGTCACGTCAGTATGAGTTTTGACAACGTTTAACTAGTGCTAAAATACAGTATTGTTGATTAGACACAAAACACTATAAATTAAATAATAAACAACCGGCTTTAAGTTTCAGTTGCGTTAACATATTGTTACACACCGGTAAGTCTAAACAATTGATTTGGCTATTCGTCTTATTTCAAGATCTTTTGTGTAATCCTCGTCCATTTTCTGATGTGCTTCTTTATAATCTGTGAATTTATTATATTCTTTGTTATGGTGTACTTTATACAATTTAAACAACCTTGTTTTCTCAGTGTATACAACGTACCTTCAACGAATTACAAAATTGGAAGGAGTAACAGAAAAATTTCGATTATGCGTAAATAATATATTACGTTGTGTTAGTATTCTTTTAACTTGTGAGAAGATCGCCAGACGCTTCGTGAGGAATTTTATGCAGAATGGGCGCCGATCCCGAAACCGATTTAGAGCTACCGAAATAGAAAATGTTGACCCATTTCACGCGCCACCCACCTGCAATGTCAACAAGGGGGGCTTTTTGGATTTTATACTGTTCGAGAAACGTACTCTATACCTACAGAAGTATAAAAAATATACCGACAAAATTGTTGTTGTTCGAGATAGAAAATCACCAAGTCCTAATTTGAATGTGTTGTTTTTCGAACAATTTTTATGGCAAAATGGCATCGAAATTGCTAAACTATGCCAAACTGCACGAAATGTAACGTCAATGACGACGACGAATTGTAACTATTCTATTACATTTTGTTTATTATGCGTCGTACCTGAAAATAGTAGGTAATCATTTATAACATTTTTCTTAGATGGGGATTCTTAAAATTTTCAGTTAAATCAACTAAATGACATGGTTTAGAATCCCAGGAGATCCAAAATTACTTACTTGTTACAAAATGCTTGCGAGAAAACAACTACAAGACATAATGATGTTTATTGACTTAACCCACAAAGAAAGGAGAACGTAATAAATTATATTTCCAGAACTTTGGTTTGTAGAGCATGTCGTGGAATGGGAACAACTGCAGTCTGCAGGTGTTTCATAGAATTAGACATTGAGGCAAGGCAGGCAAAGCCCTAGTTTTCATAGTTTTGTTGTGGCTACTAAACTCGATCTTCAATGTCACAGGACACGTTTAACAATAAAAATATCTTTGAAGAGGACTTACGAGTCTGTTGGTTAAGAAAAGTGAAAGAAAAAATTGGAAATATGTGGTCGAATCTGAAAATCCAATGGTGCTAATCTAAATATGTCAGAAATTGACTACAGGTATTAATGATGAATATGTCAGTTAGACATGTTTTTGGACAAACGCCACGCTTCCATTGCTGCCTATCATTTTGGAACTAGAATGAAAAGCGAAGGACAATGTTAGGAATGTCAAAGTCAAACAAAAAAATCAAAAATGCAATGTTAAATTTGTAGTATGGATACTGACAACTGTATATATTACATCGGTGTGATATCTTTAGTATTCATCGTGTATTACCTGTTCAGACACCTGTAAAAACATCGAGAAGTATCCACCGCGGCATCGCTTGATGGAATGTGTATTATTTCGGGAACCGTCGATTTTATTAAGAACGATAGTTGCGCTTTACTGGTGGTTTCCATATTGGTTACAATCCTTGCCATTAAACTGATATTAAAGACGCAGATGATTATAAGAGGATACTGAGATGCCAGAAAAATATTATGGACTTCGATGACTGTGTGTATTACGTAGGAGCCCTAACATTGATAGTGGTACTTCTCAACACTATTTTGTATCTCACATCTACCTAAAGAAGAACCAGGTAATAGGCCCAGGGCATCCAAAACATGCTTACTGGTTCAAAATTTATTGCGCCTGAGAAATCTAGAAAAACCTGTAGGCCAGATCACACAACAAATATGAATACCGGCCAGAGGACTTAACCTCCATCTTCAATATGTCCCTCAAAACGTAGCAACAAAGTTGTTTAACAACAAACAATGCATTATTTACCAAACAAGAGATTATCTGTTTTTTCCTTCTCTTTCAGGAGCTGGTAAGGTATAGCGCGTGTCTTGGTGAGAACAACTCCGATCTCCAGAAGGCCTTGGATTTGATGCTAAGTGTCCCTCACAGGGCACAAGACGACAAGTTTACTTCGAGCATCGAAGGTTACCGCGGGAGCATCCACAAGCTTGGCCGCCTCCTTGCTCACGATAGGTTCTCCATCACGTTTGGAGATATCACCAAGGAAAGGTACCTTTTTCTCTTTAAGGCACGGATCCTTATCTGTAAGGTACGGAGGATATCCGAGGACAGGTCTATTTTTCAACTCAAGGATACTATAAGGGTAAGTGGGATCATTACCGCCTATAGAGCTTCGCATCTGACGTCACTATTAATGGTTTTGTCTCTAATCGAATGCGTTGTCGTTAGCTTGATTTATAAATTTCAGCTAACCCACGTCGAATTAAAGGATCATCCGGACGACAACCACGTTTTTGAATTGGTGGACAAAGTCGGTGGGCAGTCGCTGATTCTTAAAATACACAGGAACGTAAAGGAATTCTGGTTAAAGGAAATACGAGAATTCGCCAGCGACTACGGTAAGTCTATTATTAACGCAAACAAAACCGACAGTAAAAATCTATACAGTTTAAATTTGATATTTTATGTGGCATGTTTGAGAAAAATCGTATTATTCGCATATAGGATGCTTAGGATCAATCATCGTGATTACTTCAAACGCATGTGAAAACAACGCTTGCCAAGTTTCGCGAAACTTCAATTACATATGAAGCCAGAAAAACATTTGGCAAGAAAAAATGTTAATCTTATTAATGTCTTTATTTATCATGACACCAAATTTTAAATTAAAAAGTATTTTTAAAGAATTTTAACGTTTCAGTACTGGTAACCCAGTGATCTAATGTTAAAGTTATTTCAAATAATAAACATCTAAACCGGTTCAAAATATGTTTTAATAAAAATATGCCCCTTCAATTAGTTTGGCAAACCATTTTTAGGTGACACCGACGAAACTGTAAGCGACGAGTTTTTGGTAGAATCAGCCCTAACAGAAAATTCCCAAACAAACAAAGAAGCGGATTCCCTATCCAGCGAGAAACAACCAGCAGTCCTACAGAAACCAACAGAGCAGTCAAAACCACAAGCCAAACCACCCGACATCCAAGTTGAAGAATCGGATCAGCCGCCAGCGAAAAAATTTGCTGCTGACCCCACTAACCAACCAAAACCAGACCAACTAACCGCCGCAAAACCCAAACTACCTGGCCAAACAAAGGAACAGGAACGACTTGTACAGGAATTAAAATCAGCAGTTGTCAAGACTAAACTCGAATCCAAAGTAAGTGAGCAAACCAAAGAGTTAAAATCTGAAGTCAAACCAAAAGACCAGCTTGTACAAGAATTAAAAGTTGCAGTTGCCAAAACTGAAGCGAAACCCACAACTAAAGTCGTATCCAAAGTAACTGAGCAAACAAAAGTACAAGAATCAAAACCTGAGGCCAAGCCTAAAGTACCAGATCACACCAAGGAACAAGTTCAGCTTGTACAAGAACTAAAAGTTACAGTTGCCAAAACTGAAGCCAAACCTACAACTAAAGTCGAAGCCAAAGTAACTGAACAAACCAAAGATCAAGAGTCAAAACCTGACATCAAGCCCAAAGTACCAGGTCAGACCAAGGAACAAGCCCGGCTTGTACAAGAACTAAAAGTATTAGTTGCTAAAACTGAAGTCAAATCTACAACTAAAGTCGAATCCAAAGAAACTGACCAAACCAAAGGTCAAGAGCTAAAATCTGAGGTCAAACCCAAAGTATCCAACCAAACCAAGGTACAAGGCCAGATTGTACAAGAACTAAAAGTTGCAGTTACCAAAACTGAAGCCAAACCTACAACCAAAGTCGAATCCAAAGTAACTGAGCAAGCCAAACAACAAGAGCTAAAACCCAAAGTATCAGGCCAGACCAAGGAACAAGACCAGTTGATACAGCAATTGAAAGCCGCAGTCGCTAATACTGATATTGTAACCAAACAATACCGTCAGGCTAAGGTTCAAATAGAAGTTGCAAGCACTAACACTTCAAGTTCTTCCGATAGGACATTAGTCCCGGAACCTTTTCCAACTGCAGCGACAACAACCATAACAACTACAGACGTACTCCAATCAGAGGACTCCACCTTAAAACAAATCCAGACCCCGGAATCCGAAGCGGCCGAGGAACACCACCTACCAAAGATCCAAGCCGTCGAACCTCTCGTCCAGATCAACAAACCCAGAGTTTTGGAAGAAGTAGTGCCCTACGTGGTAAAACCTCCTCCGGAATTAGTGCCCGGCAGTGCTGTCGATAAGTTGTACAGTGTGGAAAAGTCGGGTGTTAGTGACGTAGTTTTAACGGACTTCAAAGTCGGTGTCGAGGTAAATGTTGAGGTAGGCGACGACATGAGTCGAAGATACACTTCATCAGCGCGCTCAGGTTAGTTCTTGTACGATGCTTTGCAAATAATAAATATTATTACTAACTGTGTGTCTCTTTTCCCGCTAACTGGATAGTTGAAATGCAGGAACACTAAATTAGCCACTTTGACGTACCACCCTGCATTTTGACTATCGGATTAACCTTTTCTTAGACTAAGAAACTTACTGTGAAATATAATCATCAAACTTAATTGAACATGTGTCGATTATCGGGCTGATTGACGCATAATATTTATGTTTGAGAACACGTGTAGTAAATAAACAGTTTTTACAATGACGTGAATATAATATTGTCTCAAATTTACTAAATTTGGCAGTTTTTCACAATAACAAAATATAACTTAACCTTGAAAAACTTCCTCCGCGTATTAGCGCAAACGTTTATATATTTTTCGCTGTTTCTCGAAATTTCCGTGGGTTTCTAAGACAGTATAGAACAAATTATAAGCGCTTCTAACACGAAAGAAAGAAATAGAACATAATCTATTAAAGAAATGTCATCAAACAAATAAGTCATCAAATGTATAAAGCACACGACTTTCGCTACAATATGGTGTGCCTACGCTCATGTGGTGACGTCACAAAGGAACAGGGCTGACGAAAGCATGGCATATAATGCAACTTTCTTTCGTTTCTCTAATAAATAATCCAGAACTGTTTCAGCCTAAAATGAGGTAACGTTTCTTCAAACTTGAAAAATGTTTAAAGTTACGTTCATATTTAGACTACATACTTAAACTAACTTTTTAAACACGTTCCATGACGTATGTAAACGTGAAAATTACACGTTTTACATCTGACGTATCATTATTAATTAAATTGTCTATTTATGTATAACATATATCTACTATTTGTGTCAAAACGAAAGTACGTATTTCCTTGCTGACGTCATACGCAGACATGATGAAATTGAGCCAGCAGACAAGCACACCATACTATATTCACCACGGTTTTTACACATTTCTCTATAACCACGAGAAAAGATGTTAAAAACAAGATACTGGATAAATAGAGGAAGGGATAAGAAAAAAAAATTATAAATTGAAAATAATTGTTTTAATTCAGTTAAAATCACTTGCCAGCATGCTTCTTACTATACGGAAGTCAATTTTTCTCCGGAAATACCTGAAAAACATTTACTATAAATATTAATCCACTTAATTACATATTTATTTTATTTTCATCAAGGAAAAATCCGAATTTTTATTGTTGTTACATCTATAATCGTCTACTTTTGACAATGTGTCGGTATTGGACTTGTTACAATCTGAACAAAAATTATTTTAAGAGTATGTATGTGGGAGTCGCAGCAGTGCGCAATATTTAGCAAAAAAAAATGAGGAATATGTGAAAATAACAGGTGTTCGGTGCCAACAGCCAAATTTTTAAAATCTACGCGTCGTATTTCGTTACTACCCGGAAAGTATGTCAGAAATCATCTTTTAGACTGATTAGTGGTTTACAAAAATAGTACATTATACAGAATGAAGACATTCCCCTGCCTCTTTGCATTGCCTACAGGCAAAACTAATTTGCAACGAATTAAATTGCATTCTTTTTTGTCATTATTTCTAGTTTGGTGATTATTATGCATGTAAAAGTGTCTCCACTGTATTCTCATAATCAAACTAACAAAGAAAAAAAAAAAGAAAAAATACAGCAGCATACTACTACGTTCTTCTAATGTAATGCCTGATTAAACTTGAATGTCGAGGAGAAGAAAATAACAAGAGCTGCGCTTAACAATCTGTCCAGCTTCTGCAAACATTAACCGAGCATCTAAACATCTTCACAAGAATATATTAATTCACAGAGGGAGGCTACGAATCCTCTTATAGCAGAAGAGCGGGACAGTCTCCGTATTCATCAGATGCGCTGTCTTCACGTTACAGCACGGAAACTGGTTCCAGCAAGTACGGCACAGAAATCGGTTCGAGCAAGTATGGCATAGAAATCGGTTCGAGCAAGTACGGCACAGAAATCGGTTCGAGCAAGAAATCGGTTCGAGCAAGTACGGCACAGAAATCGGTTCGAGCAAGTACGGCACAGAAACCGGTTCGAGCAAGTACGGCACGGACACTGGTTTGAGCAAGTACGGTACAGACTCAGCTCTAACTGGAGGCTCCAAGTATGATGACTACACCTCAAAATACAGCAAAAAATCTTATTCGACTGATATCGGAGATACGTCTAGTTACAACACAAGGAAACCGCTAACAGAACTAGGAGATAACGAGTACAGCTACTCCAGGAAGTCGATACGGTCATCGGCCACAGGTGACGATGACAGTTCTTACTCCAAGAGGTCCTCCAGATCCATCACTAGAACTTCAGGAGAAACTGGGGACGCTGATAGTTACTATTCGAGACGCAGCCTTAAAACAAGTCTGGAGGGAGTAGGCGATGGAGATGGGTATGCCATCAGAAAATCGATCAAAACCTCCGTCGAAGGCACAGGCATCGAACCGTCGGAGACCAACGAAACTTACAGCTACAGCTCAAAGCTGGGTCTTGGGTCAGACATAGGATCTAAGTACGCCATAAGGTCCACCTCTGCTGAAGATGCTGACGGCAGCAGCAAATACACAAGGAGAGGCATAACGAGTCGAGATGATGACGAAGAAGCCCTTATGGCTAAGTACTCTCCGAGGTACTCTTTAGATAAGAGAGCTCTGGGCGAAGAGGAAGAAGATAAGTACGCTAAATATTCTAGGAAGTATGCCAAGACGGAGACTTCTACGGAAAGGAAATCCTACAAGGACGATGAAGATAACAAATATTCTAGGAAATATTCCAGGGCAGACTCCAAAGATAAAAAAAGAGGCGAAGAAGAGGAAGACGCGTACGAAAAGTACGCTAGAAAGTACTTAAGGAAAGAAGCTTCTGTCGACGTAGGAAGTAAAACGGAAAAAGCAGAACCAGAAGAGGACGTATACGCTAAGTATTCTAGAAAATATTCTAGAACTGACTCTAGTGAGAAAAAGTCGAATAAGGAGGACGGTAAGTCGACATGTTTGTCTTTTTTATGCGCAAAACATACATTATTCGTTTTTGCACCTATTTTTTATCGCAAGGTTTGATTGCGTTGCTTTCTAGGTCCATATATTTGAGAATCTTCCAGGAATTTCTTTTTAACTGAATAGTTTGAAGCAGGATGAAACACATCCTTCTAAACATATGTTTATTGCTGAACGACTATTTTGTTATGGCCAAATTTTATTAAAATATATCCATCCATTTTTTTTAACTATAATTCCCAGTTGCGATTCTCAAATACAACTAGACCGATGGGTAAAAAAGCTTTCCCTATGCTTTCACGATGCGTGTTCTTGTAGAGTCAACTTCAATAAAGATTTCTTCAGCAGTCAACGGCAAAGAAGCGAAATCTGACTTATACGAATCTAAAGAATTTAAATCAGAATCCCGAGAAGCTAAATCAGAATCCAAGTCCACCAAGACTGAATCGTATTCCTCGGAAACAAGGTCTTCTCAAGCTAGGGAAGAAAAATCCGAAAGCAGGTCATCTCAGGCTAAAGAAGAAAGATCCGAAACCAGATCGTCCCAGGCTAGAGAAGAAAAGTCCGAAACAAGATCATCGTCTACAGCTAGGCAGTCCGAGGCCTCAAAGGAAATGAAATCCGAGTCGTACGGATCCAGATCTGAGCTAGACTCCAGTTCCAAGACACAGAGAACGGCTCGTGAAAAATCTGCCGAGGAAAAGATTAGATCGGAGACGTACGGATCCAAATCCGAGCAAGACTCTATTTCGTTGACGATGAGAAGCACCCGTGAGAAATCGGCCGAAGAGAAGCTGGAGGAACTCGATGACAAACCCAAATTCATTAAAACTATACGCGGTGCGAGTGTTGAACGTAAGTATTAAAGTTTAAAATTAATCAAAGAACCCGATCACATTTATTTTATCACTTCTACCATTCAGTATTTTTGCACGCAAGTTTTGACGAGCACTCTCATTATTTTTTTATATTACACTCGATTTTCCATGAATATGCAATCACGAGTGGCAAACATCTTTTCTTAAATTATTATCAAACTTTCATATCTTAAATTTGTCTGGACGACTTCTGATTGCTAATGCCTGGTGGTTAAAAAAATTAAAAACTAATTTCTTAGACCGCCTGGTAAATCCCCCTGACAACTCCCTGCTCTATCTTATCTCTGCTAAATATATCTTTCATCTTTCACCGTAACACTTAGCTGGCGAAACCGCATATTTCGAGGTGTCCTTATCTAAGAAACCAGCCTCCCTCCTTTGGCTGAAAGACAACAAGCCGATAAACGGGACCAAAGACGCCAGGATAGAAACCGCCACGTCGGGGCAAGACTGCAAACTTATCATTAGGAGGGTTAAGGAAGAAGACGCGGGCATCTACTCGGCGATCGCCCAAAACGAAAAGGGGAAATCTTCATGTTCCGCACAGCTTATAGTGCATGCGTGTTAGTAATTTTATCGCTTTTTTATTTTTTATGTTCTGCCTCAGTTTTGCATCACGTTCATTGAAGAATCATTTAAAAATACTAACTATACAGGGTGATTTTTAAGTTGATACTTTCCTTTTAACACTGTATAGAATGCAAGAAAATAAGAAAATTTTTCAAATAAAATTATGTCCGTCGTTTCCGAGATACAGAGTGTTAAAGTTTTAAGGAAAAAATGCCTTTTTTATCATAACTTTCCTACCACTCCAGATATTTCCACAAAATTTGGTACACTTCTTTTGACCATTAAATTACATTTTTTGATGTAAAAGTTTTCAAAAAATTTCTACCAGTGGCGTTCGAACAGGATTTGTATTGAATTGTTTTAAAAAAAAAAAAAAGTACGCCACTGCTTTTTCTTATAATCAATATTATGTTTGTAATACTGATTTACTTTGGAGTTAATTTGGTCTCTTGATATTTGTTCATACGACGAACTTTAAAGAAATAAAAGCCATTTTGATGCATGGCAAAATCGCTAAAATCTGATATGGTGTTTTGTATGTAAAATTCGTTTTTGACTAATTTGTATTAAAGTAAGGCCAATTACTTACATTACTACAATTCAAATGTAATGAAAAAAATGTATCAGTAGGTATTATTTTTAATAAATGCAATATATGGGTAGATTGTCAAGTATCCTTATTCAGGTTACCAAAATTGACATTTTTATTAGTTTGAAAGACTACTCCACTTTTGGAAACAATTTATTCAATAAATTTTTATTTCAATGTTAGTGGAAACTAAAGCTAAGTGTCCACTAGTTCAGTAAAACTGATATTATCAATTAAAATGCTCTTAAATGGAAATGCTTTTGTTGCAAACCATAAGAGCTTCAGACTGTTTCAAATCAATAAATACAGGGTGTTAATGATAAGTTTTGCCAAACTTTAATGGCGTATTCTACCGATGAAAATAATCATGATTTGACCTGTAAAAATTTTTGATAGGACGCATCCTTATGGAGATATAGGGTGTTAAAGGTTTAAAATTTTTAGGTAAAATTTTTCCTGTAATTTCACTGGTAAAAAATATTTAGTGATAAAACTTGGGAGTGACATTTTTTTAGTAGGGACTATTTTTTCATGGATAACTTATTCCAAAATATAATCCAGTGGCGTAGTTATTGCGGGAGTAAGGGACCTTTTTGAAAAAAAATAAAAATCGTACGCCACTGGTATTTTAAATAATTTTAATTGTTTTTAAAATGTATGTGTTTTGAAATCTCTCAAAAATATTAGGTATTGAATTTATTGTTACACATTTAGCAATCAATAGAAAATGGTAAATAGCAACGTAGGTAGTTAAGTATTAGGCCAGTCATTATAGCTTTTTTTCGGGAAAAAAATACTATTAGAAGTTTTTTTGCGGAATATTGTTCAGAAACGCGTTATAAACAAAATATCAAAAAATCAACTAGAGACTAGTTGGGAAACTTTGTTAAAACAATGGTAAAAGTTATGGAAAAGTGGTTTTTTACTCGCGTAAAAAAACTGTTATTCATAGAGAAAAAAGGTTTATACAAAAAAGGTAGGTATTAAATAAATCTGTACAGACAAGTCCGATTAAATTCCGATAATTTATTTATGCGCAAGAGCTCAAAACTGGTCGAAAATGGCCGTTTTCTTCAATTGCTAATAATTAATGCAATTTTCATCGCAAACACTTGTAATTCAGGATTTGTTAGTCTTTTTGCACCCTTAATAAGTGATAAAAATTTCAGCCCGAAAGCTTCATTAGTTTGGCGTTGGCGGAATTTGTTATATAAGAAGATGCCATTTTCTATTGATTTTTCCCAAGCTCAAAGGCGTTGTAGAGTTTCAATCATTAGTTGTTTTTGTACATAAATAGTTGTATTGACGTATGCATTTACTGAGAATTTAATTTTCAAATTTAATTTGTTCAAAAATGACTGAAAAAATGTTAATATTTATTAAATTGTTAAGATAGGTAATTATTATAAAAGGAAATACTAACGTCTGTAGTTTAGTTAGTACTATTTTTCTTCGAATTTAAAAAAAAATCGTTGTTCTAAGTTGATTAGAAGCTGAAACAATTTTTTTTTTATTTAATCGCAGTGTTCTTAATTATTAAGAGCCGAAATTTGGAGAAAGTATACATTAAGAGGTATATTTTCATGTCCTATATTAACATTAAGGTGAATTCAACTATTTAATTGCAAAAAATACTTTATTACCACAAATTGATTGTACATTTTAAAAACATCTAAAATTATTTAAAAAACCAGTGGCGTACGATTTTTTTTCAAAAAGGTCCCTTACTCCCCCAATAACTACGCCACTGGAGTATATTTTGGAATAAGTTATCCATGAAAAAATAGTCCCTACAAAAAAATGTCATCCCCCAAATTTTATCACTCAATCTTTTATGCCAGTGAAGTTACAGGAAAAATAATATAAATATTTGAAACTTTTCCTATCAAAAATTTTTATATGGCAAAACTTGATTATTTTCTTCGACAGAATACGAATACACCATTAAAGTTTGGCAAAACTTATCATTAACACCCTGTATAATACAAAAATAATTTAATTAAACGTTATATTTCATTAAGTTGGTGTTGGAGTTGAAAAGTGGTGGACATTCAGTTTAAGATGTACATAATCATACTAATATCGAATTATTTCTGTTGTGAACAATCTAGCATCGTCTTTTCAACTTGTATCTAACGTATTAGTTCACATTTTACAGTAACAACAGAAGAGCGAACTGCTAGAGTTGAAACGGACAAGCCAGAATTTTTGGTGTCTATGAAAGATGCCGAACTATTGGAAGACACTTACCTCCGTTTCATGGTAAAAGTAGCAGGAGAACCCAATCCAGAAGTTACTTTGTAAGTTAATAAATGAAAGATTTGTCACGGTCTTCCCACATTCTTAGATAAGTCGAGGCAACATTTAAAGAGAAAAAAAAAGACAAAATTTATAATTCTACAAGTTCTCGAGCATAAAAATGAAGATTGCGTTTACAATTAACAAATATGTATAAGGCCTACATATTCATATACTATTTTTTTTAGCTACAAAGATGGTACGAAGATCCCTGAGAACACTGAGCGTTATCAAGTGATCAGAGAGCATTCAGACAGCGGTTTTTATGAACTGATCATTCCGGTAGTGAAGAAATCTGACGCTGGCCTCTACAAATGTATCGCCAAGAACAAGTTTGGAGAATCTACATCAGAAGCCACGGTAACAGTGACAGGTAAGACTTGATTTTGAACGTCACAAAGTCCTAAATTTTTGTTTTTTCTCAACAATGGTTAAGTTTCTGCATGCTGCATAGAACTTTTTTATTTATTTTGGTCTGTACTATCGCGTATTAACATACCAATTTTTCAGAAAACAAACAGATATTTGAGGACATGCCGGAAGGCGAAATCCTTCCTCCCGGGGAGAAACCGGTCTTCCACTGGAAGAAAGACGGCGCCCCCTTCGAACCCGAAGAGCGCTTCAAGGTCCTCATGGGCGACGACGAAGACTCTCTCGCCCTGGTCTTTCAAAAGGTCCGACCCGACGACGTAGGCCTCTACACCTGTGTAGCTCAGACGTCCCGGGGGCACATCAGCTGCAGCGCTGAACTAACCGTTCACGGGACAGTCAATCAACTATTCAGAGAACCAGAGAAACCGTCTCTGACTATTATAAAAAAGAATCCTATCGTCAATGTAGGTGGGTCGGCTATGTTGGAGCTCCAAGTCAAAGGCTACCCTAAGCCTAGCGTCAAGTGGACCCATGAAGGGAAAACAATTGAAGCGAGCAGTAAATATAAGTAAGTGTAACCGTGACACTGCAATTAGAGGATTACTTTTTTAATATGCTCTTACAAATTCTAGGCTGCTGTACGAAGATGAAGAAAGTATGTCGCTGGTTATAAAGAACGTTCAATCGGATGATGCGGGAATATACACCTTCACAGCAGAAAATGAATTGGGAAGCGATACTGCTGAAATGAAACTTACTGTAAAAGGTAAGTAAGAAGTACCTTGCACCAATTTACTTTCAAATATATCAATACTCCTCAACAAACTTTTCTAATACACCCACATTTTACAGTACGAAAGATAAACGAATGTTTTATAAGCAACGAACGCCAAGTCCACATAATAGGTATATAAACAGTGTATCTTCTTAGAAAGCTGTACTCTATGTTCTAAACTACACTTAATGACCTAATCTAAAATTCAATTTGGTAGAGATAAAAATATAACAGTTTGTATGCTTTACGCTTCAATCACAACTTAGAATTTGCTTACGTCACATAAATACACAGTCGAAACGAACAACGTATTTTCTCACTTGCAGACTTTAAGGCCTACCAGCTGTTATATTGCCCAGTAGGTACTTACAACTGTACATATTTCCATCTCTTCTACTAAGTAGATGTTGTGGCACACGTTGGTTTTCTAGGAAATAACACCGCAATGTTTCAGCACCACCAAAAATTAAAACTAAAATGGAAGATGTATCCGTCCACGCCGACATACTCCTAAAGATGGACGTGGAAGTCGAAGGTATTCCAAAACCAACAGTCCAGTTCTATAAGGACGGAAAAATCATCAAGGAAAGCGACAGGATTAAAATTGAGGAATCGGGAGAAAAGCATACTCTAGTCATTGAAAAAACTTCCTTAAAAGATACAGGTAAGGTCAAAATTCTACGTGGCTTCATAAACTACCCACTCTGGTTCCTCCAGGTTCTTACTCGGTGGTAGCGACAAACGAATTAGCCCAAGTGTCCCAGTTCTGGAACCTGGACGTCTACAGCAAGCCGAAAGTGTTGGAAAAACTAGGAGCCGACAAAGTAGTCTCGCAAGGGGAAAACCTGGAACTGAAGCTCAAACTGGAATCAGAACCTAAACCGACCGTCAAGTGGTACAAAGACGAGGAAGAGATCAAATCCGATGAGCACTATGTCATCAAGGACGACGGAGACGTTTACATGCTAAGAATTACCGGAGCCGTAACCACCGATGCTGCAAGGTTCAAATGCAAGGCGGTTAATATACACGGGAGTGTTGACGATGACGTCGTGGTGAACGTTAAGAAGGCCCCTAAGATCACCAAGGGCTTGCAAAACATGACTGTGAAGGAACATGATAACAATGTAACGTTCGACGTCAAATTGGAGGCTTTCCCCCAACCCACCGTCAAATGGTAAGAAATCGTAAACTTAACGTCAAACTCAACGAGTTATCGAATGTGCTTTTACAGGTATTTAGATGAGGTGGAGATCCAAGAAACAAGAACTGAATTCACAAGGCAAGAGTCTCACGACGGGGTTCAACTCGTGATTAAAGAAGTTACCAGTGAACTGTCAGGTCAATACACTTGCAAACTAAGCAATGAATGCGGTAGCGCCGAGACCAGCGCCAAACTTACTGTTAATTGTATGTTTTCCAAATATATTCATGCAACTTTTTGTCTGTAAATAACATATTTAGGTGCACCGCGTATTATTAAACAACTGGAGGATGTGACCGTCGAGGAAGGAGCGACTCTGCACTTGGAAGTGGAAGTCGACGGTTGCCCACCGCCGACAGTGAAATGGTTGAGGAACGGACGTGAAGTATCTGCCGATGCTCGAATCAAAATAAGTAAAGATAAGCACCGCGATGAGACGTACAATCTAGCCGTGGACCTTATAAAGTACGAGGAACAAGGGGAATATGAAGTCATCGTGACGAATTGTATGGGGACTGTATCCAGCAAGAGTATAGTCACAGTGCAAAGTAAGTATTATATTCAAAATATTATCTGAATTTTATAAATCGAATCACAATTATTCAATTAACAATTAAACCAAATTATTTCAATATAATAAAACTAAAAACGTATTTAGTATAACAGTAATATTCATTAAAAACTGATTCTATATTATATCCTCGTAACGTTTTCAATTTTAGTAGTTGGAGGATTGTATTAAACTCTAAAAGTAATATTCAGAAACTATTTTCAACCTCAGAGTAAGTACAGTTTAGTTTCAACTGTGATTGTCCCCCCAATAAAATTATTTACTACAGTGCCGAAAAAGGGTTTACAAAAAAACCCTTTAGTGTGCCCCCCATCTTTATACGTATTAAGACTTTTTACACGTTATTATCCTCACCCCTTACCCTCACTAACCAATTACAGAAGTGACACACACCGATGCCATTGAGGAACTCGAGGAACCGCCGAAAAAAGTTAAATTCGAAGTTCTCGAAGACGAGCCAGAAGAACCTAAACCCAAAGAGAAGCCAAAAGGTAATGCTAAGACATTAAAACTTGTACTAAATAACAGAGTTTACAGACAAATTTGTTCCCTCTTAAACTGACTTAGCAGATTTTATTCTTTAACTATTTTTCTAAATGTCTGTTTCTCTTTAATTTGCAATTACACACTATCTGCCAAATAAATAATAAAACTGTAATAAAAAATATTATTAAAAAATCTCTTAAAACGTTACAAGTGAAAACAAAATTCGTGATACTTGTGTTAACATTAAAGTTAATTAACACTGAAAATGGATCTAACAAGTAAATGTGAAAAAAGCTTTTAAACTTAGAACTTGAGCAAATTTACTTTTGCAATTTGTTTTATAAAGAATTATTAAAATCAAAATATTTATTACTCCAAAAAATTACGATTTTAATCATTTATTTTCAAAATATCAAAATGTTTTAACCAAAAATATATTCATCAAATAAAATCTAGCTTACATTTTGTATTTACTGCTTATATGTGCGCTTTTGTATAGTGATGTCAGTTTTGAGCAATTATAAATTTACCTTTTTAACGCACTTTTGACGGTGCGCAATAAGAACGTTTCATTTCTAAAAGCAAACAAACAAACACCCATTTTCCACTGATAATACATTTCACACAAATAGGTACTCTTACTGAAATCGAGGTAAAAGAATCTAGTATTAAATCGCCCGAACCGATTGTTGAAGAGCCTCCTTCGCCTAAAGTACTCAGAAGGGCTAGTTCCACCATCATCGAAGAGGTCGAGCAGGTCGACATCGACGAAGACGCGCACAAACCTAAAGATGTAGAGGAAACGATATTAGAGCAAAAGAAACCCAAAAGAGGGATTTCAGTGCAAATTGAAGAAGTTGAAACGGTTGAGAGCAAAGCCGATACACCTACACCAGCTAAAGAAGAAGATCTGCCTCGTCCTTCATTGAAAAAGGGAGTTTCCGCCACCAAGGAAGACATTGATCTAATAGAGGACGAAGATATTCAAAAAACACCGAAGACACCTATTGAGACAGACATTGACGCTAATAAAAAATTAAAAAGAGGCGTGTCGGCTAGCGTTGAAAACGCTGATCTTATAGAAGATCAAAAGGAAGAACCGCAAACTCCTTTAGAAACTGACGTAGATTCGGCAAGACAGTTAAGGAGAGGGATATCAGCTAAAAAAGAGACCATTGAGGTAGTCGAAGACGAAACTACAAAACCAAAAACACCAACCACAATCGCGGATGAACCTGAGCTTGCACCTTCAAAAGCCAAAAGGGCCGTAATCGAAGATAGAAAGGAAGTAGAAATCGATGAGGAAGAAATAGCCCCAAGGAAAATTAAAGAAGAAACACTTGAAAGACAGGAAAGCCAGAAAGGCAAAAGAGACTACGATGAGGAAGAAATAGATAAAAGAACTGAGGAACTATTGAGAAAAGCTCAGAAGCAAAGAAGCCTGGTGGAAGAAATAACTGAAAAGCCAAGTAAAGCAGAAGGTAGACAGCAAACCTTTATATCTACCCTACACTTTTTCTCTTTTTTTAACACACTCCTTTAAAAGAATACCGCATGTGATGTTGTACCTAATAATTACACCGTTATAACTTTGCACGGACATGTAAATATCAAATAAGTCAAGTGAAATTTCTCTTTACAACAAACATTTCGTGTTAATAAAAGCTTTCATTCTACGATAGCTCTTATGAATAAAATCGAGAACTAAAGGGAAAAATTCCACTTTAAATGTTATGCTTTAGATGTTTTAATCACTGTTAGCGCTACTAATGCCAAATAATTTTCACACGCTTCATATTGGCCGCTTAGCAAGGTAAGATATGTATATATTGTTGTTGCCTTGTACACCGCTGCACTGATATTTGTAATCTAAACGATATATACAGGTAAGTCACGGAAGCACCATTATAAAAATAGTATGGTTATGAAGTTATTTTAAATTAAAGAGGCAAACAAATATCGAAGAATTAATTATAATCATATAATTAAAAATGTTAAAATTTAAAAAATATAGGAACATATGTTTTTCACCTTCATCTTCAATGAAAGGGCACATATACGTACATAAAATTGCTTGTTCCTGTATTTAACATTTAAAAATTCGATTATTTGGTAAGTACAGCTCTTTAATAACTGTTTAAAAAATTTAAAACTGTCTTTAAAGTTTAATGTAACATATACAAATATTTTTTAAGTTATCCATCACTCATAACATCAAGATGTAAAAAACTAACTTTTACTTTTTCATAACCGAAATTTATTCTCATTAGCCATCCCGATGATCCTGGAAACGAACATGAAAGACGGGTCTAGACCAGAATCTCTAGACATAACATACATTGTAAAGGGCACTGCGAATCCACCTCCAGAGGTAACTTGGCTACATGACGGAAAAGAAATAAAGCCGGACAGTAATTTAAGAGTAACCACCAGTCAGAAGGGGGAAGAGTTTCGCCTGGAGATAAAGAAGTTGGACCTGAAAGACTCCGGTGTGTACCAGTGCGTCTTGAAGAATCCCGTTGGAGATGTCAAGCAACAAGCGGTCTTGGATGTAACACGTAAGAAACTATATATGCCTCGTACAAATTTCAAAGTAACGTTAATCATATTTTAGCTGAAAGGGACCTGCGTCGGCCAAAAATAAAAGAAGGACTGAAGGACCAATCGGTTGTGAAGAAAAACACGGTTACGTTTAAGGCTGTCGTAATTGGAGACCCCGTTCCAGATGCTGCTTGGTAAATTAATTTAATAAAGAAAACAAAAAAAACATTCTGTACCACTTTTTTCAGGCTGCATAACGGCAAAGAAATGACAGAAGAAGATTTTGAAAATAATAAGATTATATTGGAAACGGAAGATCAAGAAATTGAGGACGGACTAAATGAATGCACATATAAACTAACAATCCCAAGATGTGTGTATACTTCTAAAACAATTGACGATTTCTAAATGTTTCTTCCTTGTAGGCGACGTTTCCAATACCGGAAAATACACCATCAAGCCCAAGAACAAGTGGGGCGAGTGTGAAAGCAGCGCGAAACTAACCATCGTCATGCGTCCGGAAATTGAAGGACCCGAGGACGTCACTGTTGTTCCAGGGGAAGCCACAGAATTTACAATCGTGGTGCAGGCAAACCCGGAACCGCAGGTTATTTGGTACAAAAATGACCAGCCTATTCAAGCTAGCGATCTCATCAAAATAGTGGAAGATAGAGCGAATGAGACATACAAACTTGTCTTCCATAAGGTGATGTTAGCCGATGAGGGATACTACAAAGTGACAGCTTCGAACGAGCTAGGAGAGGCTAGTTCCGAAGCACGGTTGAAGACAGTTAGTAAGTATCACAATGTAACTTAAATTTCCATCCCCTTGGTATTATTTCACACGTCATATTTACATTTATTTATCTTTACAGAAGAAACAGAGCCGACCAGTAAGTTCAGGCATTTTGAGGCTTTGCTTTTTCACAGCTAAATACACAAATAAAATACAAAGTTGATGCTAATACTCTTCTCAATGGCAAATGCTTTTTAACAAATGCCGGTGATCGGATAAACTATTATGCTTAACGCTTTCAAAATATTATTTTAGCCGAAAGACCCAAATTCATCACTGGGTTGGTCGATGAACAAGTCGAACATCAGGGAGAAATTGCAGTCATGGTGCGTGCCGATGGCTTACCCAAGCCCGAAATTCGTTGGTACTGTAACGGTAAACCTATCGAGGAAGACGCGAAGCACAAGATAGAGACTCAAACCGAGAAACAAGTCACAAGCAAGTTAACCATAACTGACTTTGATGAGGCAAACACCGGAATTGTAAGTATCTGGACAGAATTTATCGATGGTTAATATAACTGCAATTCGTTTTATCTCAGTACAAAGCAGTAGCAACAAACATAGTTGGCGAAGCTGGCACAACGTCCCGCATTTCTATGTTACAAACGCCTCCTTCCTTCGGAAAGAAATTAGACAAGAATCTGGACGTAAATGAAGGAGAACCCCTAGAGTTGAAAGCAAAGATAAATGGTAGTCCAAAACCAGTTGTAAGTATTTGGAGTAACATTTTTTTAAAATACATTATCAAATACTTTCCGTTAGGTGGAATGGTTTAAAGATGGCGAACCTGTGCCTGTCAAAGATGACAGTATTAAAACTAGCACACTACCTGATGGTACCGTAAAGTTAAACATAGAAAGATGCAAGCCGTCCGACAGTGGTGCCTACAAGTTAGTAGTCAAGAATCCCAACGGTGAAACAGCTTGCCTCTGTGCGGTGGCTGTAACACGTAAGTAAATCATAAGGAACCACACAGATAACCGTGTTTAAAACTTTCCTTTACAGCGAAACCAAAGCGACCGAAATTCCTCAAATGCTTCAAAGACACTAAACTACCGATTGGCGAGACTTTGCGTCTCGAAGCTAAAGTCGAAGCCTATCCACCACCAGAAATTAAATGGCTGAAGGACGGAATACCAGTACGACCGTCGTCGAATGTCCATACCGAGAACTACCCTGACGGTCGGGTGGCTTTAGTTGTCGACATTATGAAGCCTGACAATGCAGGAAACTATCAATTAATAGTGAGCAACAAACTCGGTGAAGCCGTAGGTGAAGCTAAAGTAGAGGTAGAAAGGAAACCGACGAAACCAGATTTCATTCAAAGGTTAGCGCCGCAAACAGTCGTCGAAGGATTCCCAGTTAAATTAGAAGTGAAAGCGGAAGGTTTTCCTGCACCTAAAATTACATGGTACGTATAAAAATTACCCACATAAATCGACCTGATTTAATGAATTCCAGGACCAGAAACGGAGCGGAAGTCATTTCGGACAACAAACACATTAAGATCATCGAACAACCTGATGGAAGCAGCGCTCTTCTCTTGGACGCTGCTGATGTTGCGAGAGACGCCCTCACCTACAAGGCCATAGCTTCAAACGAGGCAGGAGAATCGGACACATCTGCCCCACTTACTGTCAAACCGTCCGCCAAACCGGACGAACCTGAGGAACGACCGATGTTCTTACATGCCCTCAGGGATGTTTTAACTGACGAAGGCGAGCCTCTCATTTTGGAGGCGCCGTTTACTGGTAATCCCATTCCAAGTGTCGAATGGACTAAAGACGGGGAACCGATTGTACCTTCTGAGAGAATTCTGTTGACTTGCGACGGAAGAAGGGTTGGTCTCAAGATTGACCACTCTGTTCCCTCTGACGCTGGCGTTTACGGTGTAACCATTATCAATCCTCTTGGAAAGGAGTCCACTAAAGGCAAGGCGACTGTCAGGAAAGTGTTTATGCCTCCATCTTTCACTCAAAGGTTTACTGACTTACAACAGGTATAATAAAATAAACTTTAATGAAATAATGTTTATAAAAATTCAACATGTTTATAGCTGCCTGGTAGAGATGCCAAATTCCCATGCAGAGTTAGCGGAGTGCCACAGCCTGAGGTCACTTGGAGTAAAGATGGGGTACCGCTACGCAACACAGATAAGTATCACATTAAGAGAGACGGAGACCTGTGTTGTTTATATGTGGCGGACTGTGACGAAAGCGACGTTGGAGTGTATACTGCCACTGCCACAAATCGTGAGGGTCAAGCCGAGTGTACTGCTACTTTGGATGTCGTCAAGGAAATGTAGGTATTATTAAGAATTCCAGTAATACCAAACAAAATATTCTTTTGTTTATACAGAAAATCTCCACAGAAGATTGAACCGCCAGTGTTCCTCAAACGTATCGGGGACACAGAACTATTCAAAGCTATGACTGCCAAGTTTACGGCATGTGCTTCCGGCATACCGGAACCAAACGTCGAATGGTTTCATAATGATCAGAAAATATTCCCTTCGACCAGGATCAAAATGGACAAAGACACTGCCGGGTTACTGCGACTCACAATCTCAGGAGTCGATGAAGACGATCTCGGAAAATACACGTGCAAAATCAGCAATGAACACGGTAGCGACATCTGTCACGCTTACCTGAAATTCGACGAAGGTGTGAAATAATCAAACTAAAAAAATTATATAAATTACAAATAAACTTCATTTACAGGTATTGAGCCCAAACCAAAACGTCCAATCACGGACCAATATACGGAATTTGACAAGTACAAGAAGAGCGGAGCTCCAATGCCAATCTCCGACCCACCGATCATCTCCCAAATGACCGATAGACACTGCACCTTGTCTTGGAAACCATCGATCCCGAGTGGACCTAGAGCACCCGTTACTTACCAACTAGAAATGTGCGAATTACCAAGTGGGGATTGGTTTACGGTTAGATCCGGCATCAGAAGTTGTACTTGCGGAGTTAGAAATCTGGAACCATTCAGAAACTACAAATTTAGAGTTCGTGTAGAGAACAAATATGGAATCAGCGATCCATCACCGTTCGCGATAACCCACAGGTATAAAGTAGTATAGTAATCATACACCGATACCACACATACAAAATTTCGATCCGCTTATCCCGTCTCCTTTCTTTTCAGAGATAAATTAGAACCAGAACTACCCAAGTTCAGGCCCTACCTACCTCCCGAAATTGATTTCCGTCCAGAAACTTCTCCGTATTTCCCCAAAGATTTCGATATCGAAAGACCACCTCACGACGGCATGGCCCAAGCCCCGAGGTTCTTGCGCCGGGAACACGACACACAGTATGGCATCAAAGACCAAAATTCCAACCTGTTTTGGTTCGTTTATGGCTATCCTAAACCAAAAATGACATACTATTTCAATGACGAATTAATAGAGCCAGGCGGTAGATTTGACATGAGCTATACCAGGAATGGCCAAGCAACGTTGTTTATAAATAAGTATGTACTATGTGTCAACTTTTCTAACTACAATGGTTGTAAGGCTGCAATTAATTATTTAGACGCTGAATAAACCCTAGCTTACATTTTTTTTCCAGTATTAATATCTACAATTATTACGATACATTTTTTCTAGGATGTTGGAGAGAGACGTGGGTTGGTACGAGGCGGTAGCTAAGAACGAACATGGGGAAGCAAGGCAACGGGTTCGATTAGAGATAGCTGAATTACCCTACTTTATCAGGAGACCTGAGATTGAATACGTAATGCTGAGAGGCAAGGCTAGATTCCAAGCCAGGATAGTCGGAGTACCGTATCCGGAGATTAAATGGTACAAGGACTGGAAGCCATTGGCTGCCTCGTCCAGAATTAAAGTCAGTTAAACACACGACATGATTTGTTCCAACTTCATGTGTATTATTATTTTTAGATAGCATTCATCGAGCCTGATACAACAGTATTGACAATTAACGATGTTATTCTCAAAGACGAGGGTCTGTACTCTGTAAGCGCCAGGAATGTCGCTGGTACGGTTTCCAGCAGTGCAATGTTGCACGTTGAAGAAAATGAGCACGAATACAGACTCCGCAATTACACCAATTTGTCTCCCATCAAGACCAAGAAACGTCTTTACACAGATTTGTACGATATTGGTGACGAACTTGGGCGGGGAACGCAGGGCGTGACGTACCACGCAGTGGAAAGACTTAACGGTGAGTCGAGGGCTAGCGGACCGTGAGTATTCTAACATTTTCCATTGTAGGTCGCAACTACGCTGCCAAGATAATGCACGGAAGCGGAGACCTGCGGCCTTTCATGTACAACGAGCTGGATATGCTCAACGAACTTCGTCACAAGAAATTGATTTCCTTATACGATTCCTATGAGAATGAAGATTGTTTAGCCTTGATATTGGAGCTCGGCGCTGGCGGCGAGCTAGTCAAGGACTATTTGTTGAAGCAAGACTACTACACAGAGAGCGACATTGCCGGTTTTATGAGGCAGCTGCTTCAGGGCCTGGATTACATGCACGACAGAGGCTACGGTCACATGGGACTCAATGTAAGTGGGTCTTCTTTCTGATACCTCAAATCTAAAATTCTTGTTTGTAGCTGGGAGACCTTCTAATATCACACCCAGGCGGAGACGATCTGAAAATCACCGACTTTAGCTTAACGAGGAGGATCGAGCATGGAAACTACTACCCCCTGAAATACGGCATGCCAGAATACGTCAGCCCAGAAGTGATCAACGGTGATGGCGTTGGATATGGACAGGATATGTGGAGTGTTGGTATCATGACGTACATATTACTGTCCGGCAGATCTCCTTTCAGAGGAGCTAATGATAGAGAAACTCTGACCAACATCCGTGAAGGAAGATGGACATTCGATGATAGTTGGTGGTCTAGGATAAGCGTCGAAGGAAAAGATTTCATTTCCAGACTCCTGGTTTATGATACCGAAGGCAGGATGAACGTCCGTGATGCTCTGAGGCACCCGTGGCTAGAAAAAGCCGACAAGAGATACCAAGATGAATTCCAAATTAGATCGACATATCTTAGCGACTATTGGAGACTGTACAGGTGAGCTGATATTTATAATGCAAAAATTTAAAATAATCCACAAATTATTAATATTTTAATACAAAAAATATTGTATGAAATTCACGTATAAAGAATATTTCTTCACTTATGGCATTGTCAAACTTATGTGAAAAAATTCTCATTTGTCTGCAGCTGCAGCATTTTGTCTACATTCATCATATATCAATAACATAGCCATCAATTAATGATTACAATAATTCTGCACCTTTGTAATAAAATAGTAGTAAAAATAACATTCGATTATTACAATTTTACTTATATTAATATAATACTAACTGCTAAGTCTAATTTTTATTAAAAATAAATCTCCCAATTGTAAACATCGTACATGTGGCTTCAGAAATATTTCTAGTATTTAACACAAAATTAAAAGGAACTGATTTGATATTTTATGCAAGAAACAACAAAAAGAAATTGTGGTTTTTCTTTATTCTAAATGTCATAAATATTCTTCACTTCGTGTTTACTGTTAAGCAACTCTAAGAACTAAGCAATGCGACATCGGCTTGTGACCTTTAACGATTTATTATTAGACCACCTAAATAAGAACTATCGAACAATTAAATTTGCCAAGTCCAATGATATGTCGTTCGATAAAGCAAACGGCGTATTTTAATCGTGATGTCTCTACAAAAAATAAGAGCCCTTGAGAATACCATCAAACCGAATGAAGACTTAGAATACCTAGAAGATACCTACGAGTATATCATTAAAGTATACGATGGAATCGATAAACTACTTCCTCATAAGAAAATTTACTACATCTCGGAACATGCTTTGTATAAACTCGAAATGCTCTTAACGTAATTTACTGTGTGGTTGAAAGATGAATAAATTTTCTCAAACTGTATCCGTGTCTTAGGGAATGGTATGACAACGCCTCTTGTAGGAGATGGTTCCGACGACGACCCCTCGAAGGAGCTTTTACTCATCCATCGAAAATGGTCTACCCACCGGGAGAGTACTATTCCCCCAGAGCTACACCCGCTCCTCTGGACAAGACTGCGAGGACAAGAACCACTTGGGAAGATCAGCTGCCCACTAGGTCTCCACTTAACTACGAGATTGGTGTTATTAAATCGGAGAGTCAGTAAGTTGAGAATGTTTTCAGCTTATTTTTAATACCAGCTCAAGCGACGTTTTTAATTTCGCTTTTTCTTAATTAAGCTATCAGAATGGACCAGACACCTATCTGCTGCAACTCAGAGATGTCGACTTCCCTGTACGTCTGCGTGAATATATGAAGGTCGCAGCTAACCGTGGACCAGGATCAGGATACATCGTGTCCGACGAAAACGGTTATGATTGGGGAGTAAGTTCGAAGTCTAAATTTACATTCGTAATATTAACATTAATTTTTAGACGCCTATAATTCGGGAACGTCGTCGTTTTACCGATATTATGGACGAAGAAATAGACGATGAAAGAAAAGCCCGCATTAACCGGTACGGCGCAGCTGAAAGGGACCCTACTATACGCCGCTTAAGACACGAAATAGGTGAGGGGCGAGAATTTCAATAGTTTTGATTCCAAACGTTATTTTTAAAATAACTTTCTTAACAGGCGCCCGCTTGGACACCTACGTGGAAGCCGAGGCATTCTTAGAATCCAAGCAGGACGGACGATTACCGTTCTTTAGGGAAAAACCAAAGTTTACCGCAATGGTCGAAGGAAAAGACTTGGAACTTACCTGTTTGGCAGTGGGTGAACCCCAACCGATTGTCCAGTGGTTCAAGTAAGTAATGAAAAATAGAAGGAGCTACAACCCATATCATAAATGATTTTTAATTTCAGAAATGATGCAATTGTTGCGGAATCCCATCGTGTCAAAATAATAACCGACGCACAAGGCAGGTCACATTTGAGGCTCTCTCCAGCTCTCGGCTTTGATCAGGGTATGTATAAGGTGGTGGCCCGCAACAAGGTTGGTCAGACCATCGCAAGGACTAGGATCGTGTTGGGTCTGGTACCCGACGAGCCAGACAGTCCGGAAGCAAGCCAGATATCTGACACCGAAATTTTGCTCACGTGGAAACAACCTAAATTTGATGGCAACGCCCCTGTGATTTGCTACAGGCTTGAATATAAGTTGGCGGACGAGACCGAGTGGACCAAAAAGGCTGCTAATATCGATCACGAGTTTTACCTCATAGGGGACTTGGAGCCTAGCAAGAGTTACATATTCAGGTTGGCTGCTAGGAATTCTATTGGATGGAGTGATGCCGGAGTACCATCAGCTGCCGTTACGACTAAACCTTCAGGTATGCTACAAAGAAAGATAAAATTATAACAAATTTAATAATTCTATCGTAGAATCTCCCAAGATTAAATTGACCAAAGCAATGTTCCATCTACAACAAATTACTGACAGCGGAAAAGAAGTAGAAGAAGAAACTAAACAACAATACGATTACCAAATAGAATCCAATCCTGTCGAATGGGAAGATTCCAACGTTGAGGAACTGTACGACTTTATTTCAGAGATTTACAGGTACCATTCGTTTTACTTTCACGAAATACATTTAAACACTTTATATTACAGAGGAAGATTCTCCCATGTCCTGAAGGCAGCAAACAAACTTACCGATGATGTCGTAGTAGCCAAAATATTCGATTACAAGGAGAACAGGAGACACGATGTTGACGGTGAATTTGCCGCTTTGAGGTCGTTGAGGCACGAGAGAATAGCTAGTCTACTAGCCGCTTACCGTACAACTGACACGGCAGTTTTTATTTTAGAAAAGTTACAGGGCGCCGACATTCTCACCTACTTAGCAAGCAAACACGAATACACCGAACAGACTGTAGCCACAATAGTGACTCAGGTAAGTTTAAATAAGAGTCAGATATAGTGTTAATATTCGAATCGAGTAGTCGTTATTTACCCGCCGACTTTGTAGATATTGGACGGAATACAATATCTGCACTGGAGAGGACTGTGCCATTTGGATCTTCAACCGGACAACGTTGTCATGAGCGGAGTCCGTTCCGTGCAAGTGAAATTAGTAGATTTAGGAGCAGCACATCGAGTCACTAAACTGGGTACAAAAGTACCCATTGTCGGTCATCCTGATTATATTTGTAAGTACTAAGGAGTAACAAACAATATTGGAAGTAAACTGAACGAAATAAAAATCCATTTTCTATAATTATACAGCTTATACAACTAAATAACTTCGCTGTTAGAGATTGTAAGATGGTTTTGGTGACCTTGCTATAGCCCCTTGTGTCTATGCAACCATAATACTTGTGTGTATACATGGCGTACTTTGAATGGGATCCATATTTATATAGAGGCTATATTTGACCTTTTTTTAGATGGGTTGTATAAGCTGTGATTATAGTGGTCGAATTATTATAGGTACGACCCCGTATGTTAATAAAAAACAATTTTAGCTCCAGAAGTGTTAGCCGAAGAGCCTGCTTTCCCGCAATCTGACATTTGGACCATCGGTGTACTGACCTACATAATGCTTTCTGGAACTGTACCATTCCGTGGCCAAGACGAAAACGAGAGTCGTCAGAACATACTATTCGTAAGATACAGGTTTGAACACCTTTACCAAGAAGTCACACAAGAAGCAACCAGGTTCCTAATGTTACTCTTTAAACGTCATCCAAAGTAATTATTGAAATTCCGACAAATGACTTTGAAGTAATTTATGCCTTGTTCCAGTAAACGACCTTCACCGGAAGAATGTCACGAAAACCGCTGGCTCTTGCCTACGGATTATATGATTAAGAAGAGAGAAAGGGCTGTTTTCCTAGGACACAGGATCAAAGAATACTCCGAGGAATACCACAATGAGAAAACACAGTTATCGCAGAAGTCTACCAGCTCGCTGGGGGCAAAACTTATCAAAACGCACAGCATACAGGAGGAATTGTTGACTGCACCTTAGCGGATTAGTATTAGTTTGTAAATAATGTTTATATGTTAATATATATTTTATTGATCTTACGGATGATACTAAACTGAAATTTATTTATGTATTGTATCAGTGATATGAGCAAATTTGATTTTTTTTTGGAACAATTTTGGGTTTTTGGTTTTTTGTTTCGAAGACTAATTTTAAGGAAATAGAAGCATCCTGTTATTTGAGACTCACATGAAGATTTTATTTCAATAAAGAAAATAAATTATTACTGAATTTTTAACTTAACCTTTTCCTTTATAAAGTTAGGTCGATATCAAAAAAAAAAGGATAAGTTATTTTTATTAAGTATGCACTTTGTAGATAAATTTATAATTTAAAACATACCTAACGTAAGTATTTAGCATGGCCTAAAAAGAGATATATAATGAGATAGATATTTATATTTTAATTAAAATAAAAAATGTTATTAATATGGAAATATAATATGAAAATCAACCATCCACACTTATTTTTTTCATTAATGCTTGCCCAATGACAACATCGTAATATTAATTACTTTCCTTTTAGTTTAAATTTAAAACATGATTAATTTTAAAAATTGGATACCATTTATTTTTATAACGACATTTTATTACATATTTCATTTATATCATGATGAAATTTGAAAACTAGCAAATACTTAAGTACTAACCTTAACATTTATTTTTGAGTTCCTGCTCCACCATAGCTTTAACATGAATGGAAATTGCCTCGAGAGGGTTTTTCTTGAAATCCTTGTTCTTCAGCGTCTGCTTAAAAATCTTCACACCTTCAACTAGTTTTTTCTTCCTTTGAGTTGCTTTTTCTATGCCCCTCTTTTTAATGGTTTTTGTATTATTATAGTTGATACTTGATTTATTTTTTAATAATGATTCTAAAGAAGGCAGTGCATCGTGAAGGGGATTAGTATCACCAATGACAGCTGTATTTTTCCTTCTCTCCCTGATTTTTAACTCTTTCTTCATTTGATTAACAGTATCGATTTTTTTAAGCAGCAGTTCTCTTCTTAGTTTGATCTTTTCTTTCTTGGGAAGAATCTGTTTTCCTGACTCAGATTTGCTAGACTTGTTTGACTTAATACTCTGCACATCATCCGACACTAAGCTTTTCTTAATATTGTTGATATCGATGTTAAGACCAGCAAAGAGATCTTCTTTTGGTGGAGATATAGGCAAAAGTGGTACAGTATCCCCTTTTGGAGATGCCTGGTTTTCTGGAAATTTCTGGCTCTTGGCAGGAATATGCAACTTTTTTCTTTGCCGTTTGAGTTTTCCTGTAGCAGTCTAAAAATTATAGTTATAAATAATATTTACATGAATAATAAAAGTACGACTTACTTTACGATATATCGTGTTGTTAATTTCCATCTCAATATTCTCAATTCGACTATAATTATTTTATTTTATAAATATTCATATTGTAAGGTATTGTTATTGCAGTTCAAAAGTTAAAACTAGGAAATAGGAAATAGGAGGGAAATAGGTTAAAATTAAAGCATGTTCCATTTACATTTCTTAGTTTCTACCTCGTTACAATAGCTGCTTTCCAATTGCCAGATAACTAACTGCTCCTCAAGTGTTCTTCTACTGTTCTACTCTTTAAATACTCCAAACTTAAATAATTGGAACACCTCTGAAAGAAATACGTAATTATATAAACAATTTTCAAGTATTTTATTATTGCAACCCAAAAAGTTAATCTGGAGTGTTCCTGAAGTGCTTCCGAAGTACATTTTTTGTCAATTGGAAAGCAGCTAACATGAAGCGCTGTAGGGAAAGTGTATAAAGCTCTAAATAATCCAACTGCGTGTATGGTTTATGTTTGTATCGAAATTTAAACGTATTAAATTTGGATGGAGTTCATCTAACATAAAAATATAACTAAAACTTTCTTAATATGGAAATATGAAATGTTATGGTGGTCTATGTTTTCCACAAATACTGCAACGCGCAGCTATTTCGCGAGCCGAGGTGGTATCTACGACTTACGATTTATTTGAGAGGTATCCCTTTCTCTCAGTACTCTCAAAACAAAAACACTTAATAGTAAAATTGATATTTTGACAATGAAAGTTTTTTAATCATATGGAGTAACATATTCTATTTTTCTTTGCAAAGAGTTTTTTTGAAGGCAGTGAATTTATTTTTCTATTTGATTGTTCTGAAAAAGAAGGACACTCCAACCCACACCACTATGTCGGAAAATATCTTTTTCCATCTGATCTGATCGCAAATTACAGTTTTCGAAAACTCCTCTATGCTATCGATTATTTTTTATTTCGAAAGTAACTTAATTGGCGACAATGTTATTCTGTTATTCATATTCTATGATACCACTGATATGTTATGTTCGATGACTAACTTCATGCCATTATACTTCTAAAAAATTTCAAGATTTGTTTTGTCATCATTCGTTTTTGCCGATATATTACAGTTTTGCAGTAAAACAAAAAGATGTCTTTAATAATGAAACCTCATTATCCAGACTACTCTTCTGCTCCTGTTCAACATCAATTTAGTCCTTACGCAGATAATGGAGGGTAAATATTAAGTAAACCAAAATTTTTCAATGTAATTTATTTTTAATACATTTTTAGGAGTGTTGTTGCTATAGCTGGGGATGACTTTGTGGTAATAGGAGCAGACACCCGTTTAAGTGCTGGCTTTTCCATTTATACCAGAAATCAAAATAAACTGTTCCCTCTTGCTAAGACGACCGTACTAGGATGTTCAGGATGTTGGTGCGACACCTTAACATTGACACGTATTTTGAAGTCTCGCATGCAGATGTATCAACAAGAGCATAACAAAATCATGTCAACTACTGCATGTGCTCAAATGTTGTCAACGATGCTTTATTATAAAAGATTTTTCCCGTATTACATTTCTAATGTACTTGTCGGATTGGATAACGAAGGAAAAGGATGTGTATATAGCTACGATCCCATTGGACATTGTGAAAAAACTACATACAGGGCCGGTGGTTCTGCAGGAGCTTTACTTCAGCCTCTTTTAGATAACCAGATTGGTCAGAAAAATATGGAAATAGTTTCGAAAGAACCTCTATCTCGGGAGAAAGCACTTAACATCTTAAAAGATGTTTTTATATCTGCCGCAGAAAGAGATATCTATACAGGTGACAGTGTATTTATTAACGTTATTACAAAAGATGGTATCCAAGAAGAAACCTTTGAATTAAGGAAGGATTAAATAATTTTAAGCTTTGTAACTCACCAATAAAGGTTTTATAATTATATATTTTTTCTTTGGCGAAATAAAATTGTTAGTTTAATAGCTCTGTCTCTTAAATGATTTAATCGACAATATAAAGTAAAACCAAAAACTGAGAAAGGTTTTTTAATCACGATTATTTCTTTCAAGTGGTAAATATATCCCGAACCCTGTCTGGGTCTGCCACCCTTATTCTATTACTTTTACTTTTAAAATTTTTTCATCACGAGTTTCCTACGCGGGCCTTAAACTCATTGCGCAATATACGACAATATTAATTTTCACGAGCTATCACTCCATGATTGTTTTACTATGTAAAACTGTCTCGATTTAATCTGTTACAACCACATCCTATTAGGTACATACAATGTCAAAAAAACAAATTTCAAGTGCACCTCTTTATTCAAATTAATATTTTTTAATCTTTCGAAAATATAATCACAGTTTATAATATAAAGAAAAAGTTTTAAAAAATATTTTTAAAATTTTGTACATAATCTACTGGTTACATCCCTTCCTGCTGTGTGATATGGTCAAAATAAGAAACGAAATCAACTCTAAAATTATTACGAGGCATCCCCTTCATATTTTCTAATAATTGATGATACTTAAATAAATTATTTGCCAAATATTACACAAAGATTCTTTATTGCTATAAAATTAAGGTTAAACATTCATTTAGATCTAAATCAATAATTAGAAAAAATAATTGTGTGGATGTGGGTTCTTACAGTAAATGCAGGAATCCTACAATGACCAATTATAATGTAAATAGTAACCGCAAGACAGTCGTGATATCCGATGTTTCTGCATCCCCCAGTATACGCCTCTATTTTTTGCCTACTGGGGGTAACAACGGTTGGCCACGATCCTTTCCTCTGAGTTTAATGCCAATTACCTTTTCAATTTTACCGATGATCACATTGTTCGGTATACCCCTTCCGGCTTCGTAGTCTGTAATTACTTGAGGTTTTTCGTTAATTTTGGTGGCGAGCTCCTTTTGACTTAGACCCTTGGATTGACGGCCCTGCTGAATTAATTTCCCAACATCCAAGGAGATGGTATCATGTTTAAGTTCTTCAGTCTCACGGTCAAGTTTAGCAGTATTTTTTGTGGTCACATGTTGTTTATTACTTCCAGCACCCCCTAAATGTTTATAAATATTACTGAAACGGAACCTTCTAGAAATAAAAGCACCTTACATTTTAGTTGCGTCTCTACGGCAACACCTTGTCTTCTGGCAGCGTTGATGGCTTGCTCGCTTTTCATAGCCGAGGCTTTTGGGGCTCTCTTTTTTAAGACGGTGACAGTGTCCCAATCAGACATGATTTCCTCGTTTCTCTAAAAACACACTGACGTAAAAATAATGGAATCCTCTTTCATACGCAATACAAGTGTGAAGTTTGCTTCTTACTATAAAAGTGTGGTTTTAGAAACGTAACGGGATTGTGCGATGTGACGGGCACAAAACGAACAAGGATTAACAAAATTCGATTCAACAGCAACTATAAGCAATTATAACAACATGAACATTACTAAATATTTACTAAAAAAATGGGAGTTTGTTCATCTGTCCGCAGAAAATTTAAAATTAGCGCTGTGATGTCATTTCCGTTGCGTAGACATTTGTGTTAAATATGGCCACCCGTAGCACGTAGTCAACATCCGGCATCTTCTTTCATCAGTAATCGATCGCCATTAGAAAGCATCTATTTTTAGTAGTGTTTTTTGAGCATCAGTTTGTTGGTGTCCGGCAAGTGATATATCTTGCAACCGTTTAGTGATTTTACGTGATTTCGTACAGCTTTTGTTGCCAGAACAAAGAGAAAAGGTGAGAAAAGTTAATGTTGTTATTTTAAAATACATATATCTTCAAATATTCCGTTATAAAGTATAAATATATTTCGGCGTCAGCTTTCCAGCTAGCCTCCATGTTTGTTACTTAATTAATTCACTTTGTTATTGCTGTATTTAGTTGAAATTATCATGGCAAATAGAAGAATGGGCGGAATGGGCGGTGGCCAGAGGGGCAATCGCTCTTTTTCTCAGCATCAGCCATTTCAAGGAAGCAATGTTAGCCCCTGGCAAGGGAATATGCCTTCCAATAATTCTGTGAATCCGGGGTTACTTTCCCAATTAGCCTCCAACCCCCAGCAACTTGCTCTAGCTCTAACTAGCTTACTACAACCTCAACAACAACAAATGAACAATCCACCATCGTTACTTTCTTTGAATACATCTCCTGCTTTTTCTAATCAAGACCGAGATTTTAATCGGTTTGGTAGAGGCCGTGATTTCAGGCGACATGAGCCTTACAGTAAGGTATGATTTTATTACTTTTTCTAGCACAACGGATAAAGGTTTCTACAAGAAATATTTATTTGTCCATATTTATATAGTATTGGTTTATTTTCTGATGTGTAGGTTGAGAGTCATCATTGCTTAAAGAAACCTAAATTTTATTCATGTGTACACTACTCCTGTAACTTTAAATTTATTAGAATTTTATTTTTAGTTGCCTCAAGTGTTACAAATTTCTTTAATGTACCTGCCACGCATATATATTTCTCTTAATGTATTATAAAAAACACCTCGAGATCTAATTCCTGTACCTGTTTAAATCAATTTTATTAAATCTGTTCATGATGCTTATATTAAGCACATATTTTTCATACGAACAATTGAGGCAACTGTAATGTCATCTTCTTTCCTGTCTGTTCTTTCACTGTATCAAAAGTACTTTCCATGACATGAAATTAACTAAGAACAGAAATGTACAGTCGTAACATTTATTTTTTATTATTTTATAACTCGTCCAGAAGGTACAAAGTCTAGGTAGCATTCAAAGGTTTGTATTTCGTTGGTTCAGAGTTCCTGTTATTTTTATTCCAATAAAGAATTGATTTATTTATTTTTTACTCGGTACTCTGGAGTAACACGTTACTATTATACAGAAATTATATGCAAGGTGCCTTTAAATTTCATAAACTATCACAGTTCCATTTTTCACCAATTTTTCCATAAAAAAATTACACGTCTGTTTTAGAACAATAGAACAATAAACACTAGTGTTAAATGTGACGTGTTGCATTTTGAAACCAAATTCTTTTAGTATAAGAATGTATCAATTTAATTATTGAATATTGCAAATCTTCAGTAATTCATTTTCAAAGAAATTTGTTAAAAATAGGTAGTGCACATAAAAAAGTGCTAATTTGTATCAGTTGGTAAAGATTTGTTCTTTAGATGGTGGTGTTGACATTGGGACAACCCTAAGTACTTCCAAGTTTTTATTACATTTGAAAAAATAAAATATGAAAGTTTCAAAAAGATGGTTTAATCAAAATATCAAAGGTTTTTAATTTATCATTTTTAATCATCAATTGATGGTTTATTTATATATTAGCTTTGAAATATTGATGAAAATTATAAAATGAAGTAGATAATAGAACTAGAATTAAGTTAACTTCTATTATTAAATCATTTCCATATGTTGTCTCACTTCTTTCATTTTTCACTTCAGTTTTAATCTGTTCCACTGGCTGCTTTTTAAATTATGTTCTGGTTTAAATTTCAATTGAACATTTCATTAAACGTCATCATACTAAAACAATTTTTAAAATTTTACTATTATGTAGAAAATATGAATAAATTTGTAACAATCAGTGTTAAGATTAGTTTTGTGTTATTTTACGTAATCTCACTAAATTTATTGAAATATTTTTATTGTTTTTATTATAAATTAGCGAGAGGTCTATTACATTTTAAACTACTTCTCAGAATCGCAATGGGGGTTGGCGAACGATGGACTCCAAAAACCGTAATAATAATAAGGGCAAAGATAAAAAACGGTCTCCCTCCAGAGACCAGAAGAACAAGAAGGGGGATGTTAAAAAGAATGAAAAACCCGTGAAGGACAAGGAGGAAAAAAAGAAAGGCGACGTCATTGATCTGTCCGTAGACGAAGGCAACGACGAAGGAAATGAAGAAACTAAGAGAGACTGGAAGGACGAAAAGAATAATTCTGAGGAAAAGAAGTCTGAAAGTGGAGACGAAGACGAAAAGAAGAAGGATACGAGGAACAAGGAGGGTCCCTATTCTGGTGTTCCCGTGAAATTCTTAAATTGCTTTGTTTGTAACAAGGAAATGTGGGATGGAGAATCAATGCAGAAGCATATCAGAGGTAAACGATCGTATCTAATTTGTTGATATATGAAGTCCGTTTAAAAATATTTAAGAGTTGAATGACCTTTGGTTGATTGAATTCTTTCTTAGGGAAAGGCGTTTTGTTACTAAATGGTTTATGTATAATTTGCCATACTACATGTTTTCGTAATAATAGATAATTATTTTTGTTGTAAAATGCGGAAATAGGAAAAAATTTTCTATAGTAGCTGTTTTTACGTGCAAATCAATGTAAGCCATAAAATAGTTTTTACAATTCTAAAATTTTGAAATCTTTTAAAACGTGGACATTTCAAATTTCCCCCGAAATTGCCGCATGGTACCATTAATATGCACCCTTGAATTAGGCCGTGCCCACAAGCAGATGTTGAACAGTTTGGAGGAAAGCATCCACATAACGGTGAACATCCTCAGAGAGAACATGCGCCTGGCCGAAGAGAAAAAGGTTATCGAGTGGAACCGCATGCAACGCCTCCAGAAGTATCACAAATACAATGACGTGGAGAGCCACTGCAACATGTGCGATTTGAAGTTCATGGGCAAAATCATCGTCCATCGCAAGTAAGTTCGTTTTGATTTTTCCCGGTTATCGCCTTAACTCTTCGGTTTATTAGGACCGAGGGCCACCAACGCCTCAAACGTTACTTGCACCCCAACTGCGAGATGTGCGACAAGGAGTTCCCCGCCAGGATGGAATGGGTCGAACATCGTCTGACTCCCGAGCATTTGAGGAAGCTCCACGAAACGCTAAAGGACAAGACTGGAGACGAAGGTAAGCCGTTTATTAATCAAATTTGTCGTTATTCTCACGCGCGTTAAAATCTTAGATGGAGATTTGATAATCAAAGAGGAGGAATTGGATTTGGAGCCTCTCTTAGACGAACCCCTGCAGATGGAAGTGGAAAATCCCGTCTTGGAGCTGACCGATGATATGGCCGGTTTGCAGAACTTGATACCGGCCTACAAGCCGGACCGAGCCGTGTCCTCGCAGAGTTTGAAGCCGTTCGAGGGTTTCATGTGCAAACTGTGCAACAGGAGCTTCGAGAACGACGATCTCGCACAGGTACTTCAATTTTTTTCCTGTGAATTAAAACAAAATCGGTTTCGAACGGATTTTCCCTTTTAGGCTCACTTGAAAACCAAGAGGCATTACTACCAGTTCATCGAAGCCGCCAAACTGAAATACCAGCAGCATTCCAAGAAGGAGGAGAAGAAAGAGGAGAACGAAACGAACAATGAACAGAAGGAGGACGCCCAGGAAGGGAACAACGAATCTCAAACCGAAGGCGAAGGTAAGACTTTGCGGTGACGCGGTACGATTTTTTTCTAACGAGTTTTAAACTACAGCGGACGCCGACATGTACGATCCCGAGGAGGCCTGCAAGGAGGAGGAAACATCTATGGAGGTCACGAATGACGAGGGTGATCCGTCGGTGATAAGCCTGGACCTGAAGACCAGCTTGAAGGAAGATAGCGGCGATGAGGAGGCGAATTTAAAGGAAGAGAAGGAGGCGGAAGTCAAGGAAGAGCCAAAGATTGCTTCCACGCCTGTTCGTCAGACCAGAATGGGCGGCGGGGTGAAGAACGGCGCCGGCCCGAAGAGTAAGAAGGCACGTAAGCAGTAATAGTTAAGAGACGACACTTTAAAATTATTAATATCTATATCTACATAAATTTATTTAGATTTTTCTTTTTTTTTACATATATATGTTTATATAGGGATCTTTCTTCTATGTGTTAAGTAATTTTATTCCGAATTAGTTTCGGGATGTAGTCCTGATAGTGTTGCAATTCTGAAGGTGTGCCCGAGAGTTAAATTTCTTCGTGTCGTAAAAAACGTGGGATCCAATTTTTTGAACAAAAAAAGAAGCAAAAGCAAGTTTCACTCATTGTGTAATTTAGTATTAAACATGTTTATGGTAGGACTGAGCGTAAGGAGGGAATCTTCAAGACTTATTTGTGCGTCTACTCTTTTTTTTTATCTGTCGCCATAGGAGGACGTTTTATCGACAATTTCTATAAATATTACGGTTTTTAAAAAGTCGCCTTTATTGATAAATATCGAAAAACATTTTTTAATTTAAGGCGTTGAAAATGTAGCTCTCAAATTAGATAATAGGCCTGTTGTGTACGATCTCTAAATTTAAAAATAAAAAATATCCGTTTAATGTAGATATCCCTTAGTTAATTAATCAGAGGTTTAATGGTGTCATAGATTTTGAAAACGTCATAAAAATTCTGTCGTAGACATTAATTTTTGAATTCCGATGGATTGGTAATGAAATATCCTGTTTGTCAAACGATTTTATTGAGCTGTCATTAAAAGCCACACAGAAGCTCAAATCCATAAAAGGAACCGACTGCTACAGCTGCCGTACTGGGTATTTTTATTTGGATAATTTTTATGTTCAATGTTTGCAATATTTTGGTTCAATGTTTGCAATATTTTGATGACGTATCTGGTCGGTAATGAACGATTTTGATTATTTTATTACCCAGTACCCCAAAACTTTTTTTTGATACAACGTAAATCTGTAAATGGAAGAGGATTTAGGCACTACATAAGCCGACTATGTTGGTTCGGATAAAAAGTTGATATTAAAATTCCTTATATGGGTAATGTGCTGACGTCAACAGTAGAGCGAATGTATCATTATCCTGTAACACCCTTGATGCCTTCAGCGTTTAATATGCTACTAGTTGCTTAATTTGAAAATTATTTCATACAGCTGGTCGACATTTAATCTATATGGATGTTTCTGTCGGTAAATTGATTTGCTTCCGTCACAATGCGTTTTTAATTTGACACAGGGTGTTCTCATTCAATGTATCTCAAAATGCGATGATTATTGCAAAATAACAAGCTAGTAAGTTAATATAAATTAATGTGTTTGCACATTTTGAAGTACCGATAACATTGATTCTTCTCTACTGTTTGACAGTCGCAACAGTCTTGATTTTTTTCACTCTTAATAGGTCGGGGTTCGATACCATCTTGATATTAAAAACGAAAGTTAAAAAAAATTGTTTTCAATGTTTATTGAAAAATTTTCATAGAAATAAACATTTTTCACGAATTAATGGTTGGACATAAAATTTATTTTTTGCTTTTTCTGGCTTGAATACACAAAAAATTATTTTTTTAATTCCTACTTCTAAATATGCCCTTGCTCATTATAACTAGTCTACTTCATTGTATGTTAATTAAGAAAATTACCATTGATTATCGGATATTTATTTTTTATTAATCAATATTTGTAGATTTTTTTTCAATAGCTCTTGTTTCAGTTTATATAAAATTACTCAAAAATCGGCAGAGTAACGGTCGACGCGATTTTTGGGTAGTTTTTGGAGTAGTTACGATTTGACTGAAATTTGTTTTTGCTTGAACGATTAGTTGGCGGTAGTCCTGTCTCCATCTAAGGCGGCGGAGCAGACGGCAAAAGCGACGGGACCCTCCACGTTCCGCATACCAAAAATAAATTCAGCTAACAAAAATAAGTGAAGCATGCAGACTTTTCGTACAATCCTTTGTGTTTATATTTTCTTATATTAAAGTGATTGTATTTTTTTTACCTTTCGAAAGTATAGTTAGGACATGTTTGATTTAATATTTTAAATTGAGAAACTTCTACATTTAGTTTTTATGTTATGTATGACTAAAATATATAGAATGCGTATCACTGTACTGGTTTTATTATAACCCTTGAATGTAGCTTAAAAAATGGAGGAAACTGATATAAATAGTTTTTTATCACGTTTCGTGCTAATCTCTAGCACTTATTAACCCTTTCGCTGCTCCAGACGAGTTTATTCGCTAAAAGTTTATAGGACTCGAACTGCTCCAGGCGAATTAATTCGCTTGAATAGTTAAATTGGATCAGGCTGCTCAAACCGTATATATTCGCAACCATGCGCATTAGTGACTTGGTTTTTGCAATTGGTTTAGGGAATTTTTGCGGGCGGAGCTTATAGCGATTGTGGCAATTATTTTTATGGGAGGTACTGGTAATAATGCCGAGATTATTCATCTCTTTCAGTTTCTGTTTAGTACGGCTGTCGATATGCATTTTATTTAAAATAAAATCGTAAAAATATCTAGAAAATTGATACAAAGAACTGGAACAAATTTTAGCGAGGAGCGATAGCGGCGACAAGTTTGAGGAGCGTAGTGATGGATATTAATAACTAAACTATTAAAATTATTTTGAAACCTTTTAACATATTTTAATTTAAAACTGCTCCAGCCGAGTATACTCACACGGGGTAAACTTTCACGTACGGCACGGTAGCTACGTTCAGACGTATTGCGCAGTGAAAGGGTTAAAAAGTGGATATGTGCGTGAAACAAAGGAAGAAATCCATGTGCAATATAAGGTTCATGCTGCACAGTGGGATTTTTTGGTATGGATAAAATTCTTGTTACAAAAAAATTTTCATCTAATCGTAACAATCTTTCTTTTAAAATACTCGTACACATCTGTACTTTAAACAGGAATTGCGAAAATTTATTATTAGTGTATTATTTTGGCCTCAGAATTATAATTTTATTCGCTATTCTCTCATTTTTCCCTCCAATCCATTATAATTACTTCCTCAACTGAAAGTGTTTTTGTACGAATACGATCCACAAGAATCAGCGATCCTGACGTAACACCGAAGCTCAAGTAGGTAAGTCCATCGTCCTTTTTTTTTATATAAAATTTTTACCACATACATTTTTCTCCTTCGAGCCGCATTGTAATCCAAATTATGTGTAATATTTGCAATAATTACATCTTCATCTTCATCATCTAGTGGTTGGTCCTTTAAAAGTCCCATAGCACTGCGGCCTAATTAGGCCTATTGTGCGTCCCACTACTAGTCCTATTCAGCAAGTAGATTTGTCCTTTTTACAAAGTCCAAAAGCTTCCTTGCTGACACTTCTCTCAGCTCCTTGGGTTCCAAATAGGGTCTCCCAAGGAGCGCCATTCTGCTACGTGCAAATCCCGGGCACTCGCCCAGGATATGCAGAGAAGTTTCATCCGCCGATTCACATCCTCGGCAGACCGGACTGTCTACAAGCTTTAATCTATGTAGATGTTTCTTAAAGTGACAGTGTCCCGTTATGAGTCCTGTCACTCTCCTGAGCCGGATTCTATTCAAGCTCAGTAACTCATTCGCTCTTCCATTCGAAGGATACTCCATAAGCTCCTTGGAATGGCTATGGCCTGGCCTTGAAGTCCAGTATTTCCTATGTTCTGTCTCTGTCCATTTGCCCATAGCCCGCCTGACCACACTGGGAGATGTGCCACAGAAGGGCTCCGGGCCAATGAACACTGTTTCGGATCCCTTCCTCGCAAGTTCATCCGCTTTCTCATTTCCACAAATGCCTTTGTGCCCTGGCACCCAACACAGTCTGACTGTATTGTTGGTGGCCAGTTCAGTTAGCATTTGTAAACAGTCCCACACCAGTTTTGAACTTACCTTGTGTGCGGCTAAAGCTTTAATTGCAGCTTGACTATCAGAGAATATATATATGAGTTTACGTCTATAACCTCTACATGCAATAATTACAGTCTGTTAACAAATTATTGTCAACAGTGCGAGTTTTGTTGCTTAACATTTGCACATTGGTGGACTATACAGGCTGTTACAAATTCGCTTCTCATTACAGGGATCTCGAAAACGGTAAGAGATACGAAGTAGCTTAAATGACGTTGCATAATTAGGGGACCAACATTATGCGTCTAAAAAATCATTCTAACATTAGTTTTCGAATTATTTTGGAAATTCGTTTTTGATTCATTTCAGCCTTATTTGAAGTTATATTGAAAAAAAAAACACTCTCATGGCAACTTTTTGCCTTTCGAATGACAATCAATTTTTATATGTAACAGGGTTCGTAGCGGCGTGGAAAAACTGGGAAAAGTCGGGGAATTCATTATTCCCCGTAAAAAAAGGAATAGTCAGGGAATTTGATATTTGCAACTAGAAGTTTTGTAAAAGCAGGCCCTGGGTTGTTGAAAGAGAAAACTATTTATGGTTCTGAAACCTTTACAACAGGTTCTTTGGGTTTAAAAAAAAGATTACCGAGTCCAGTCTTGAAAAAGTTTAATGAATAAATACTATTTAGTATGTAAAAGTGAACTACAAGTGAATTAGATTTTTTTTATAAGTCGAGGAATTCTGTACTACTTTTGAACTATGAACTCTGATGCAACGTTTTGTCTCTCCAGGGCCATCATCAACTTCATTTTTTAAAATACTACCCTGGAAATTTTATTACATTTTTGCAAGCCTTCGTGACCCGCAATACTGTACTGTCTCAGCACGAACCAGATTCAGACGTTTTGTTTCGAAAAATTAATCTTCAAGTATTCGTTCCTAATTTATCTAAATTTTTTATTTAGATTTCTCTTTACTGAATTATCGTACACTGTAAGTATCGTTAGACCCTTTGAAATCCACCTAATTATTTAAACTATTACTAGAATCCTAAAACTTTTTGAGAAAATCGATAATTTCTAATCCATGAAAATTGTCCGAAAATTAAAATGCTCATCTCCAGGCGGCATAACACACAATTCTGCATGAATAAAAATCTTTTAGTGCAGTTTCTGAGCTACGGATGGCACCATGAAAATTTGGAACTATGTAATGCAGCTTGATAGGACAATCGACACAAGTGAGCGTTCCACTTCACTGAACTATTAATTGATTGGAGGTTTATATCACGAAAATTTTCAAAAAATTGTCGTATCGTGTGATATAATAATGTAATGAACATATTATAAGTTAGGTTCATATTCATTTTTTAACTTTTTTTTCCTAAATTTCTTATCGTTAAATCTTACTCGATTCATATACAGTGTAGGAAAGTACCGATGGTATATCAGAAGTTACGTGAGAGCGATAAAGTAAGCCATAGAAATCCATGTGATAGACAAGAATGGCCATAATGAAGGCGTCTAATAGTCAACGCCCATTTCGCCCTTCCACAAATAAAAAGTGGATCTTACTCACCTCCAGTGAAAGTTGCAATCCTGTGTAGCGTCTTTCGCCGAAATTGTTTGAATAAAATGCAGAATCAAACAAGACTTACCTTTATTAATGTAAATAAATGTGACACATTGGGAAGAGATTTTTTTTCAATCATGTATATTTTTAATAAGAACACAAATCAAAATGTCCAGTACAATTGAAATGTAGATTATAATAACACTTTTAATAAAATGAACCCATATGATTGACAGAAGAGGTAAAATACAAATTCAGTAACGCAAGGCGATCACAGATAAACAACTGTCAAATGTAACATGCATAACTTTAGAAGTTTTTTGTTTCCACCTTAAATTGCACATTTCGATTGATATGAATTATATCAACGCATTTTATAATATGTATATAATGTATATTCAATTATTTAAAAACATTCAGCTAATTCTAATTGTACTGGAAATACACATAACCTAAACGCCCGCTTCCACAACGTAATCGTCTGAGATCATTTCCACTGTTACCGTAGACAAAAAAAATTTGGTTTTAATTGCTTCTAAATTTTGCCAATCGCATTCAAATTTCAAATTGGGCCATCGTTACTTGGAGACGATCAAACTTTCTGGATTACCAATCGGATAATTTTGGTTAGAAAATTCTAATCCTGCGAGCACCCCATTTCCAACACGAGTTCCTTTCCCAGTCTAAAGAATACTCAGAGTAGTCGTCACCTCTTCCCTTAAAATATGGCAAAAACCCTGGTGCGTTTATGTGCGTGTGCAGTTCCAGTACCGAGATTAATATTAAAATGGTCACGCAAAGTGACAGTGATAGTACTAAAGTAAAAAGTCTAACATCCCAATACTTCAGTGCATTATTATATGTATAATAATAATAATAATAAGTTAGGAAGTATGAAGGCATATAGATAGTTTTATATTTATACAATTTTAAAAGTTTATTTTCAAAATGCGTATCAGTACTTGATATTATGATAGGGTTGCTCCCCGTCGGTCTCGACGATCGGTATGATAATATCAAGTGTAAATACAAAAAGCTATTCAAAATGAAGGATAGCTATCACAAATAATCGCTTATTTACTCGCCCAAGAGGTCTGGGCTATTGGAGGATGATTAACATTTACAACTGGTATATTCAGCAACAAATAATGAGTCCAGGTCCCGATATAAGGAAACGCCACAACATACCAATTAAGAGGATTTATACATAACACGGTAACAATACTCGGCGACTTCCGTATATCGGGACCTCGACTGGAACCACCAAAATATCGGTAATAAATGTATTCAGTCGGAACACAACTGAAAAGTCGTGATCTACGCATATTTAAATTAAAAGTATATTTAGAACATGTCAACTAACCACTCGTTTACAATAATTATCCCAAGAGTACCTAGTTAATAGAAAATGTCATTTATTGCTTAGTCATACCACATTCCGCTCATACCAGAGGAATTAGCTACTCTACAACACTAATTTTACAAATAGAAAAGTTTAACTTAAAATTTTAAGGAGATAGGTCGGCCACTCCGCTCTTTCATTACATCGACGGATTAACACAAACGTTTCCAATCTCCCAATACTCGACTTTGTCGTTTCGTTCCAACATTAATTTACTTGCTGAATTTATACGAAAAGTAAACCAGTAAATATTTGCAAATCACAATTAACTAGTAAATTGTAATTATATGTGAATAAAAATAATCCGGCTCATGAAAATAATTACACGAGGATTGCCTTTTATATTTCGGGAATGGACGATTGTGGTGCTGCCATCTGATGACTGACGTCCCTATCGTAAAGTTCTACTTTTTATCAGTATACTTACTCAGAACGGTTTGATGTACAGGCGCTATTTGCCTTGTCTGCAGCAACTTGAAAAATTCATCTCGGCCAAAAAACGGAATTAAAATGTGAACTAATATTGCAAGATCGTCATGTGACTTATTGTGAGACTGAGGCCTCCTTTAGCATTAGTGGGAGCAGCATACATCCAATATTGCATGAAGACGCGTGGAGCCCACATAATTTGACAAACACTAAATAAAGCTCGTGTTGATTGGTTCAAATAAATGCTCAAGAAATACACACCTATGACATCGTAACAGGTAACGAATCATGGATTTATGCATATGAACCCGAAAGTAAACAGCAGTCGACTGTATGGCTCATTCAAGATGAGCCAAATCCAAAAAAAGTTGTTCGCTCACAAAACATTTCCAAGCAAATGGTCGCCTGTTTTTTCGGAAAACCCGGACGTGTAGTAACTGTACCATTACAACGTCAGATGGTTAATTCCGAATGACACACAACCATTTGTTTGCTAGAAATCTTCAGAAAAATGAAGGAAACCAACCGCCGAACACGCTTCATTTTCCACCAGGACAAGTTGAAGCAAGACTTTTTGAGCACTGAAAAAATTGAATTTTTTATTCCCGTGCATCAAAAACACTTTTTTGAAGTGGTGGATGCGTTCAAAGTACATGTTTTGGAGGTACCTAGATCGGAATGGAGTAATCGCTTCAAAAATTGGTTCAAGCGCATGCAAAAATGTATTGATCTTCATGGAGAATATTTTGAGGCGCAATAAAGCCAAATACGATGATTAATGTTTTTTCCATTCTCTATTCTCGAACTATAAAAGTTAACCCTCGTATAATGAATATTTTAATTTTCCTTCTGCGTATTTCCTAGAAAACTGGAGTTGAGCGATCTAAGTCCTTAAAAAACGATATAATAAGCTACAACTGTATATATACAGACGAGAGGTAGTGAAAATGACAACTTGGTGATGACACAATTTGGTGATTAGCCTAACATATATCTAAATATAGTTTTAAGAACCGATTAAAATATGCCCCAAACTTTAATACACTTGTTAAGAATTTTAACAGCGAAACGATAAGAATTTAGGAAACGTGTAAAAAGAATTTGTAAGCGTAAATATCAGTCACATAAGGGTAACGAAGAGAATTTAAAAACTGTTAAAAAACGATCGGTAAAGGACTGGCGGAATATAAGCAAGTTTGTTATGGTTTTTGTATAAAAGTTAAGGGACGCCATATGAAATTTTTTGATATTCTTCTAAAGTTAATCCGATAGTTGGTTGAGATATTTCCTAGTAATTAACTATACCATAATTATATGTATATAATATATTATAGAGTAAATTTACAGAATTTTAATAAGATTAATAGATATATAATTTAACGCGCATGCATACAACAGAAGTTCAATCATTCATACCAACTCTGTGTCTGAGAGAAAGATTCCTCCTGGCGCTAACAATCTCTTCTATGGATAATAATGGTGCTGGAGATTCATATTATTTAATTGCATTTGAAGGTGGGTCAACACTGAGTGATTAACACATATTTGTACATTTATATACATACTTTGTAAGGAGGCGTCACGCTCAGACAAAGAGGAAAGTTAATATTAACCATTTAATAGTATAACACAATTTGTACAATGAAAAAAATAAAAATAAGTACAACTCGTAGCAAAGATGTGTGATTTTGTCTTAATATTAAATCAAAGACATTGTTTAATATTAATAGAGAGATAAATGTACTTATTTCGCACAATTAGTTTATTACTCGGCAATGAATTAAATATTTATAGCAATATCTTCTTTTAAATTAAACACACAAATAGTGAAATTCATGATGATCGGTAATGGCCTTTGATGAAGAACAATGGGATGGTGATTGGATGACAACAGTGGCGACAGGTGGGTATGGCACGCTCATATCACTCAACACGTGCGACCAGCCAGTTCCAGCTCGCCGTTTCACACTGCTGACCGACATTTCTTATTGCGAATTTCTCTAGCACAATATAATTCACACTACTGATTCTACTGGTTACAACAAATTTATGACGGATACAATGACATTTACTTGTAAATAATAAAAGGGTAGATCTCTCTTAACATCATCAGCCGGTGCTACAACGTCAACCCAGTAGATATTGGAATGTAGTCGGATGTAGTTATCCCCAAGCACGAAAGGAGGGAGCAGTAGAGCAGTGTGCAAGAGCGAGGCGCGCGAACGGAAGATGAGAGAGAATAGAGAGAGGAGGAAGCAGACCAGCTACTTGTTTCAGAGGTTGTGAACGAGCCTGTCGTCGCAATGAAAAAAATGTAACTATAACCTAATAAAGATGTAAAATGTAGAGTGCCACTGCTTAGGAATCGCTGATCCATCACGTAAGATCCTGCAAAACAATTTTCCTAAAATTCTACAATTTCCTCATTTTTCGTTGTTTATTTCCACATAGTTAAACATAAGGTGTAAAAGCAACAAACCAAAAAATTACTGAACCTTTCAAAATTTTTCTCTTCGATTAAATCACACTGAGACCTTTCCAATAATACCAAACGTATTTTATTCTTTTTTTACCAATGCGGCAAAGATATTACATAAATCCTAAAAATAAACAACCAGGTTCAGGATGTTTTGGATGGCCTCGATTGGAGGACTTAGAAGCTGATTTGGATTCTCAATAAGGTGGTTAAACAAACGATGCACAGAACCGTGGTTTTAGGATGAAAAATATTTCAAAAAATTTAATAAATAAATGGTGTGCAAATTTAAAAAAAAAGTTATATCGCAATGAAGATTATGAGATCAAAGTTTTGTGTTCACGATATGTGAATAAAATGGCATCGATGTGAAAAAAATTAAGTCACAGTCTCATCTCAAACCAGTGGTGCAAATATCAGGTACATTGGGTCAGTTTTGTTCAAAATTTTCCACTAAATAGACAAACAAAAACAAAACACAAACTCGTGTCAAATAAAACAAAACTATAACTTTCCACAAACTTTTTGAAGACTGGCGTGCTTTGTGACAGTTGGTGTTTTGTTTTTTGGATCCGCTCGGAAGCGGTCACATCAAAAGGTTTCGACGTGTTTTGAAACTCGAGTCTGTTTAGTGGAAACGGTCGTGTTGTTTTTTCTATTTTCGCCTTGTATTTCGATAGTATATAAACTAACTAACCAAGTAAACACTTTAACCCTACATATGTACACCTACTTTTTCTAAGGACTTCAGCCACAACTAAGAATAACAAAATCTTCTCTAAACATGTTAGTTGGTTATTGAAAAAATGTGTTCTAACTTCTTCGCGACAACCAGTGGGGAAAGGGCTAAAAACAAAAACAAAACTCAAGCAAAATGTAGCCCGATTGATGGAAACAATAATTTTGGGTTTGTTTCAGTTTTGTTTTTGTTTTTCAGGTTCTAGAAAACACAAACGCAACATAAACTCAACTGTCCGTTTGGTGGAAAACCGCCATTAGCTGTGTCAGGTGTTCGGAAAGTAAATTTCTAAGCTTCATTACTACAAACATTTATTTTATTTTTTATTAGTGCATTTTAAATTGGAGTGTGGATCATTGATTTGATCCTGATGTTTGTATATTTATATTATTTATAAAAATTCTTCATATGCTTCAGAGAAGATAAATTAATTATTTGTTTTTTGTAGTTTACTAAAATAGGAATTTTTCAAATATGGATGGACTTTATCTGCAAAAAATAAAATTTTTCCATTTTTTCCCTCTACAATGTTACTTTTGTTTATTTGTTTCGACGAAATGTCTGAAAGTTCATTGCAATGTCGCTCTTACACCTCATAGTTGTCGACCGGCTAGTGATGACACTACTTTTTTATATGCATACCTGCAGCTGGCTAATGTGATGTCCTAGTTAAGTTTAGCTCACGAATGTGCATTAGACTGAGTGTGATTATGGTCCTGTGGCGTTTCTTCAGCCGGTGAGGGAGGTGCGTCCTTCCTAGGAGGCATGCGCTCGTTTATTGCATCTAATCCCTTAGCCTCTGCGAAACTCGTAATCTTGTGATTGGGGGAGAATCCTTGTAATGCTGAAGAGCAAATCACGGTTGTAACGGTAAACCAAACAAAAGAAAGCACCCGATAGAAAGATGTATTTCGATAGCAATTCGGAATATTTCAACGGCAAATGATATTTACCATTTTTGAGACTCGTTTTTCCTCCTGAGAGTGCGCCTAGAGGTAGTGCACCAGTTGGTGTAAGACCCTTGAGTTGCAAAACAGACTCGCTTTCCTCTCTAATTAACAGAACAGTTAATCACAAAACAGCTAACCAGACTGGAGTCCCAAAATTGTACAAATAATACATTTTTCCCATTTGCACGCATATGACATGAAATAAGATACCTAAGCTGGAAGATTGGGAACTTGTAAACATTTATTTATGAGATTTATCGGCTACTATTTTGGAACTCTGGTATAATAAATTTCATTGAAATTTTTTTCGATGAAATATTAATGGAAAAATAGTACTTGCCGTAGCACCGAAAATACACGGGCCATTTTCCCGATTGCCCTGATCTTGTTCCGTATGACCTCCTTCCGTAGATTTGCTGCTGTACCTAAAATATAGAAAAAACAATTGTACGTTCGGCCTCCTAAAAGTCTACACTGTGAGTGCACATTCTAATACGTTGGTGGACACACAACCGCAATTTTTAAACCAGTTAAATTAAAAATTCAGGTGTACGATATACTGCATAAAAAAAGGTTGTGATAGGTAGTATGCACACATCAAGTGTCATCTATGGTACTTTAACCGAATTAATACATGACTTGGTCTAGGTTTCATGCCTGTGAATCTAAAAAATGTTTAGGTACAGGGTAATTCACATAAAACGAACAGTGGACTTGTTATTGAGAATAAATTTGATTTCAAGTCTTTGTTTTCACTGTCGATATTGTGTGGATTTTAGTGTACCTGCTGAAAGTAATAAAAATTAAAAAAAAAACAATAATCACTTAGAGCTCAAATGATCGTTTACTCAAGCAGCTACTGAAAGAAAAAATTATTAATTATTCTTATTCTGTGACTACTCGTTACATTTCTTGTCTTACATATACAAGATGAACACATGACATTTTCATATACATGCACACAACAATAAATTCGAATATATATCCAAGATCTTTTGACCTCTATAATAATTCCCAAAATAATATTCCAGGCAGTTCTCTTTAATCGCAAAACATAACACAATACACGACAAAATGACAGCAATAAACAGTTCTAGGCATATAATTTGTAGAGAATACAGAATAAAGCTCTGAAATAAAAATGCCATGCCAAAGAGCAACAATCACAGCGAATTAATTGCATGTAAATACTGTTGACTATTATATTTGGCACGAACAAGATACTCGTATTTAGACAGCAACCTTCACTGTTGGTACATTTTACACAAGCACTCTACCTACTCTATTTTGAACAACCAGTAAAATGTACCAACAGCAGAAATAAAAGTAGTGTAGACGTAAAAAAACAGCACATGCTTCAGTTTTTAACTAAGTCACACCACCTGGTTTGAAATATCAAAATTTGAGATTGACAGTTTTTCAGGATGATCGCTTCATCATCATCTTTTCTTTACAATTTTGATTTCAACAGTATTTATAAGCTACTCGACAAACAGCTACGGCAACTTACCAAAATACACAGTTGTCAGCCGCGCCGTGGTTGAAGAAATCGACAGCAAATGGGCAGTGGCACAAAGTGTAGCGAGCGTAGAAGTATAGAAAAAATAAAACAAATGGTGCATATAGAAATTATAGCTTCATACAGAACAATGAACGAAAAAGTTACAAAATCACAATTCGTGGTTCAAGTAGACGGTTTTCTCTGCAGACATTCAATATACTGAAATGGGTTCAGTTTCTACTTGCACCACAAATATGTTTATAAAACAGTATTTGAATGGTTTTAAATTATAACATATTTAGAAATACATTAAAAGAAAATGTGTTACTGAAATCAGCCAAAAAAGATTTAAAAATCGATAAGCATATTTCACAAAAAACTTAAGCAGAACTGCTTAAATGTTAAAAATCTGCAAAAAAGCAAAAAACATGTAACTAAGAAAAATAACCTAAACAAAACGCGGACAGTTTTTAAAATACAAAATATGTTCAAATATATCGTATTATTTTCAAAACTTGCTTCCAACAGGGAGTAGCAATAATGCCAAATATATATAAAAAGTTATACATATAACTTGTCTTTTAAATCGTATGCGCTTGCATGCTTACAAATCTACCTAAACAGTAATAAAAAACATCTAAGAAAGAGGATTAGATCTATGCTACCAATGGAATGTAGAAAATTTCAAACGAAAGAAAGAGAACGATATTCGAAATGGTATGAAATCGCGTGGCCAGGATTGTTAGTCTTTCCGATTCCAAAAAATATCATTGCATATCATAACATTTTTCCAAATAAACTGTTATGCCATTTTGGGAACAATGCCTATTCACGAAGAATGGATGTTCTTCTATTCTTTAGTCGATTTCTCTTACATTAAAATATTTGAAAACGTACCACACTCAACCATATAAAAGTCCGAAAACAATTCACTGGGTAACAATAAATGTTTGAAAATGCTATGAAAAATCTAAATACTGTAAAAATGTTAATTATAAAACAATATACCTACTTAATTATGGATGTCAAATTGACGAGAAAGTTATTTTTTTAAACAAAAGTAATTTAACAAAATTTACGAACTAAGATTTTATTTGAGTCATACTTTGACTTTGATTGAAACTTTATTGGCTGACAGTATTTTCGTTTCAAATTTTCTATACAAACTATACATATTATCTCTTTATGTATAATAAAATACTCTTGGATAGTCTTTAAAGTATGTAGGTATTATATCTTAGGTTAGTTGAAGTATTATAAAACTATATTAATTTGGAGGGCCAAATAATTTGCAAAAGGTCAACAAAATATTTAAGAACGGTTCTGTTTCTAATATATGTGAACTTCTTTCACTTGATAATTCAAAGCCATTGCCGTCAGTCGCAACCATTTCTTTTTTTCTTTTTTTGGTGGAAAAATTATAGACGAGATGTTATTGTATGTATAAAAAATATAACTTAACAGTAGCTAGAACCCCTTTATATTGATTTGCAACTATTTTCTGTTGGGTCTGAGGCCATCTTAAAACAGAAAACTGTCAACAATTAATACACATAAGGAGCATCAGCTTCTTGCACCTGCGGGAAGTGCGTAAACGAAGTATGTATGACACACCACAAGCGTTTGAGCAGCAATCACGTGACGGGGGATTTATCAACGTATATACAAAACATGTGGTTCTTCCCATAAACCGTTATTAATTTTTTTTTACAAAATTTACAAATAGTACGCGTTACTAGGAATCCGTTCCCTGAAAAATCCCACAGTTATTCTCTAATTTTTTACACCAAAAGAATGTGTATCTCGTTTTCATAACGCCTCTCTAATTGAAAAAGATTATTACAATCGGTACCTAAATAGTAAATAAAATTACGATGTCGGAGAATCCTTAAGCACAAATTACTGTAACATAGATAAAAATTGTTCACAACCACCGCCACTGCCTAAAGCCATAGGCGTCCGCAGAAAATTTGCCATAAGCTTATAAAACTAAAAAAAAGATTTTGGAAAATCTGTTAGGTATCTGTTGGCATAAGGAACTTACAGTTTTTTCCCTTAACTTGAACCACTGTGTATAGAAACGAAATGTCTTACATTCAAGGAACTTATCTCCGGGAACGAATTGTATGAATTATTCATATTCCCCTGTTACTCACGTTTCTGCTAAACGGGTCAATTGCCATTAAGTAGTCATAAACATTGTACGTTGTCGGTAGGCACTTATCTGTCTCAAAGGGCCCAGAACAAAAAGTACGAGACTTGAATATTAAATTTCGTTTTTTAATTTTTTGGAGAAGGTTCTGCTAAGAACTCATTAAAGGAGAAACAATTACTGGCGCCTGTGGAGAATTAATGACTTTCTCAAGGAATTTATGTTTCGTATTTTAACAGACAAGTCCTTGAAAATTATTCATCGAGATATTTGGCAGTTGCATTGTTTGTTTTTTTTTTTCATATGTATAAAATGGAAATCATAAAAGTAGGCGAATTAAACAAAAGTCCGCACCCGAAACCAAATTATAACAAGCATCTTAATGTTTACAGTAAAAAAGTTGATTTCAATAGATACCGACATTCTTTTCAATCAAACACTCTATACTTCCGGTGTCGGTTTAACGAAGTTGGCTCACGTTTAAGGTCAACTTTCTTTTTTTTTTTATGGCAACACAATTTCTGTAAACGTATTCTGAATGGGCGAGAAATTTAACGTTCGGAGACGTGGTTACGGTATTTTGTCATTTTCAACGTTAATGCAAAATGACCTCTACAAATTGGGGACCACCATCTAGATTTGAGCTTGGAGGTCATATTCAAGGTTATTTCAATATCAACTCGTTTTTGAAGGAAATACCTCTGATTACCGTGATTCCAGCATTTTCTGGTGCAGCAGGATTTGAATTATATTATGGTGACTAGCCGAGACCAAATAAGAGTCTTTTTATGTCCACAAAATCAAAGTTAACAACGGTTAACCTTCATATAACCTTGAACACGAACTAATTTCGTTAAAGACGTATGACCTAGTCTAATACATTGATTTTTTTCCTGGGGGTTATTTTGAAACTAAAGAAAACTTATTTTCAAATTCCACTAAAAAAAAAACAAAATACACTTAAAATACTTGATAGTTTTTGAACTTTTTACAAATACGGACCAATATTGTTGTTAAGAAAAGAGAAAAATGTTGACTGATTTAGTTCAAGATTCCTAATAACAAAAAGAGTGGTATACACTAAAATAACTTACTGAAGAAACTGATATGTTAAATGATAAGCGTTTTTAATTTTTCCCTAAAATTTTAAAAGTAGAATTATGTGAATAGGTAATTGTATCATTTATTTTATAAGGAATGACATACCCACATTAATATTAACATATGAGAGAATAATTTATAAAGGCTTCGATTTCTCAGTAAAATATGCGTTTTCCCCCCACAATTTGGAATTATTGCTGCCGCATCCGCTAACACCAATTAAAATAAAAAAACACAAATTAACTACTAACCAGGCATTCTAGGATTATCAACTACAGAATGATAACGTAAAACGAAATAAAATAAAAACTGAATCTTACCATCTGATTTTCCAAGTAGCATTGAAAAAACAAAACAAAATGATGTAGTATACGGCAACGAATCTGCTGTTTTTTCACCTACTTAAAGTCACTAATTTTCTAAATATCTCAAATGGTGAAAAGGTATGATCGTGATTATCGTAAGAGAGGTCCAAATCGGATATTTATTAAACGATTTGCCATACTTAAAAAATTAGACTTCTGAGTGGTACCCCAGAACTAATCATTACCAAACTACTTCTATCACAACTAACAGCAAACTATACAGGAGGTTTTACGGTTGTAGCAAGACAGCGCTAATAGCAGGCTACATTTATTTGGAAAATTTGGGTTTTGTTTAGGGTAACTGTTGTTCGATATTACTTTTTTATGTACATTGTGATCAACTCGGAATTCTCCTTCTTTACATTGACTTTTTGATGTAATTTTTCGAAATATGAATGATTTTATCATTGAAAATGAACACATCTAAATGTCATGTTAACTTTTCTATCAAAAATCGTTTAGCACAGGCAGTACCTATAAGAATTCTTAGTAAATCACTATGTACCAAATTACACGTTCAAATGAATTTTTTCCATTAATAATTTGGTGCTGCAAATTAAATAACGCGATTAAGAAGTGTTCAAAATCTGTTTCCAAAATAAATTTTTTCCGAATAAAATGCATACAGGATTCGTATAACATCGAAGAAATGTAGGTTTATCTGAATATGAATGGAGGTTTAAACAATATGGCAAAAATACCCAATTAAACACAGCAACACTAAATACCACAAATAAATACACTAGTCACAAAGCAGCTCAAGGGGATGATTCCAATTAAAAGAGGTGACAAGTGGGATTGCCAAAAAAAATAATTTTCCACCAAATTTCTTATTTCTCAAAGATAAGAATTTTTTACTTTCGTATCCTGAAACTAGAAATTTCAAATTGAAATTTGGTGTTTTTTTAATGACATCCAAAAAACCGGGTTAAAAGGAGGTTCAAGATATTTTATTGCGTGAATCGTTCAAAGGTCATTTTAGATGAAAAATCCGCGGAGTGCTATTAAATTAGAGGGTGGAAATTGGAGATAGGGGTGAAAATGCACCCCTTTCAGTTTTTTAATTGTAGCTCGAAAACGAAACAAAATTTCGCTATAGTTCATAGGAAAAGTTATTTAGAGAATTGAATTTCCCATGGAAATGGAAAAAATTTAAAAGGAACATTTTATGCAAAATAATCGTTAATAAACAATTTGAAAAAAAAAGAAAAAAAATCAATTTTTTGATTTTTTTTTACTTTTTTGCCTCTAGTTTTTTTTGAGTAAAGATAGGTATAGGCAATGCTTCATAAAAAAAATAGATAAAATTTCCTTCAAAAAAAGAGGTCGTACAGTATTTTTGGATGAGAATTGACTGATATATGGCCGCTCAAACTTAGCCAATTTTTCGATTTTCGTCGCATTTACCCTTATACGTTTTAATTCTTATTTTTTTGCAAAAAAAAAGATTAGTTCAAGGATTTTCATCACATGACTTTTTTGAAGGGTCGTTAAAAATAAAAAACCGCGGGTTGCTATTAAATTAGAGGGATTAAATTGAAGATAGGGGTGAAAATGCACTTTTGCAGTTTTTTAAATATAGCACGAAAACGAAGCAAAATTTCGGTATAGTTCATAGGAAAATTTTTCTAGAGAATTGAATTTCCCATCGAAATGGCTTATTTAAAAAATTTAAAAGAAAAGTTGTATGCAAAAAATCGTTAATAAACAATTAAAAAAAAAAAGAAAAAAATAGTTTTTGAAAACGCATCATATTGAAGGGAATCTCATCTAGTTTTTTTGTACAGCAATTTTATTTGCCTACTTCTACTAAAAAAAAAAATGAGTAAAAAAGTAAAAAAATCTTATTTTTTACTTTTTTTAAAATAGTTTATTAACGATTTTTTGCATAAAATTTTCCTTTTAAATTTTTTAAATAAGCCATTCCAATGGAAAATTCAATTCTCTAAATAACTTTTCCAATGAACTATAGCGAAATTTTGCTTCGTTTTCGAGCTACAATTAAAAAACTGAAAGAGGTGCATTTTCACCCCTATCTCCAATTTAATAGCACTCAGCGGTTTTTCCATTTAAAATAACCATCTGAACGATTCATGTAATAAAACATCTTGAACGTCGTAGTTCCTTTTAAAATCCTATAATCAATAGCCTATACGCCAAGTTACAGCTTTTTGAAAATCCCCTTAGATCCTTTCTTAATCTCGAATTTTTGTGACTAGTTTAATTAAAGACAAAGGACGAGTATCAGGTATTTTGTTTCTATCGAAAAGATGATTTAAAATGTGACATCATAGCTCTGTCTTCCATATTTTTTTATGAAAATAAACGGACAAAACTGCAATTTCTTCCAGTGTAACCATGTGACAGTACCTGCATGCATTTTATTCTATGATGAGAAAGAATTGGACTCTTATCATTTACTTTTTGGTAAGTTTTGACACCAAAATGTCGGAAAGTGCTAGATTTCAGTCTCTACGGACTGTAGATATTTCTGCAACAATTCGAGGTGCAGAAACCCGGGCAAGTGCAACATTCGAAAGTAATGAGTAATGGGGCACCAATTTTGGAAAACTTAACCTAGCATGTTGGGGTGTAGAAGAGTGTAACTGATTTGAGATGGGTGAATGAATCAAATCCAAAATTTGCAAAAAACGGACAGTAGCCAATTCGGTATTATTAAGATGTTTAGTAAAAAAAAAACAGGTAGTATGTTATTTGGTCAATAAGTATTGTTCCACAAGAAAACTGGCACAACACGCGGTTCTGAATTAAGTAATTCAATTTCAAAAAATGATTATTAATGCGGTGTTATTTAAACTCCTCTGTCCAAGCTGCATGTTCTGTGAAAACTTACCAGGTTTTTTTATAACTATTTTTGCCTGTTTCGCTGTGTAGGGCGCGATTCCAAGGCGAATATAAAGTAGTGAAAAATAGAAGTGTCAGAATAGGAGAAAAAATATAAGCAATACGAGTGCATGGATTTACTTGTGTGTATAATAAGAGTATAAAAATAGGGAAATTTTGAAAACACTTGTGCCGCAGAATTATGCAGTGCTTTTATAGAAAAAATACGGAGACAGAATGTCATATCAACAACAAGTTCAAATGAAATGGGCAAGATGCTACTTGGGTTTGTACAGCAAGAAAAAAAATAGTCAACACCAAGAAGAGAAGTTCATCAGGTGTCAGTCTGGGGGTGTTGAGGGTATAACATAGTTGGCGCATTTCCTTTTGTTCAAGCAACGCGGGGGCGCAGCCTTCTAGCCCTAGGCGGTTGATTGAACAAAACAAACACGCTAGTTTTAAAGCTTTTATTTGGTATTTCTGATTTTGGCCCATTGCGGAAAATCCCATGCATATTGTTACAATTTTGAACACATTAAGAACAACCCAGTCTCTGACATTAATAAAATGACTCAATTTTTTAATCAATCTGCCAATTTTGATTGTTACTCTATTTAATGAAAAAAAGAGCGAATTCCCGAGCGACTTTTGCCTGACCCTGGGACAATATAACGATGTGTTACATACAATCCTACTTTGTAAAGGGCTACTTAATTTCAACTTTTCTTTTTCGATGTTTCTTTGGATTAATTAGAACCTACATCCATGACATTTACTTCTAAAATTAACGTTTAGTAATTAAACATTTTTGTACGGCATTTCTAAAGTATATAGGTTATACAAAAAAAATGAACTTCGACCTAATGCCGTACAAAAATAGCAATACCGGAAGCCGGGAAAATTTTTGATTTTCGGAAAAATTTTTCCCGGGTTTTGGCGATTTATTACAGTACGACATTTATACTGCAAGTTTCGGATCGATACATAGATAAATTTTTAAGCGACGCCGTACGTACTTGCTGATACAGGGGTTAGAAATACAGGGTGCGATCCTCTATTTGTAAGTAGCGTATGGGGGGTGATTTGAACCAGCATCAAATTCACTAATTTTAATTAATTCTATTTTATAAAATAATGACATTTTTGACCATGCCGTACATTTTTCATGAAACATGTGCTTACTATAGGAAAATTAATTTCCCTCTGAAAAGTAGGATTTCACGATTTCACAACAATAATGGTTCTAAATGGTTTGAAATATATTTTTGCAAATAAGTATTACTTGCAAGAATTGATTTTACTTTTACTACTATTTTCTCCTTAATACAAATTATTTACTACTGTACGGCCTTTCTATAATAAGACTTAAAATATCATATCGAAATATTTTTCAGTAATGCCGTACATATTTGTCGATATTTATTTTGACCCTTATGATTTCCGATCATTGAAGAATGATCGGCCTTGTTGCTAAAACATTATTTAAGATGTAAAATAATTTTTAAGTAAAATGCCGTTAAAAAACCATAGCTCGATATAAAAATTATTAATTTTATAAACTTGAAATGCTTATATATTTTTTTTTCACAAGTACATAAGTAATTCTTTTTCAAAATCCAAAAAATTATTATTAAAAAATCAATAAAAAAAAATCTGCATTCGAATATTTTTAAAAAAATTTGGAATTATTTTTATTCTTTCTCTCTCTTTTTGCTTTTCGGCGTGTAAATTTTTGTGTGGCTTTATTCGTGTTTATAACCGACAAATTATTTTTACTAATTTTAACCATATATTGTACGCCAATGGCTTCATCACAATTTTTGCATAAATAAATTGTTCAAACAATTGTAACAGAAGTTGCAAATATGCAAATGCGATGGTACTGTTACTGCAAAACATATATTATATCACTGTTTTAAATGTAAGTATTTATACACGAATTCTCATGAATATTGAGCAGGGTTCGTAGTGGCCGGGAAAACCGGGAATACCGGGAAAAGTCAGGGAATTTGTTATTCTTCATAAAAAACAGGGAATAGTCAGGGAATTTTAAAAATATTCATGAAAGTCAGGGAATTTGATGTTTGCAACTGGAAATTTTGTGAAAGCCGACCCTGGGTTCTTGAAAGAGAAAACTATTTGTGGTTTTGAAACCTTTATAATAGGTTGTTAGGGTATAAAAAAGATTTTGGAGTCCAGTCGAAAAAAAATTTAATGCATAAACACCAATTAGTATGTAAAAATGAACTACAAGTGACCTGGATTTTTTTTTATAAGTCAGGGAAAACCTGGAAAAGTCAGGGAATTCTTTATTACTTTTGAACTATGAACACTGTTGAGTTAAAATTAATTGATTATTATTATATTTATTTAAAAATAATACTTTCTTGTACGTCATTAAATTTCTAAATTTCTCAAAATAGTTTCTCGATTCTCTACAAGTATACAATTTTTTTTAAAGACAATGCCATCATAATTTCTACGGTATAAATTAAATTTCTTTTGAAATTAGGATAAAACTAATTTTGGACTTATACAGTTGCAGGGAATTGTTCCAATATGTACGGCATTGCAATTTTCATTCTTTATGTTATATTTCTGAAGAAAATTTGTAAATGCCGTATAGTTATTAATGGCCTAAAAATGTAGTAAAAATTTAATGAAAAATATTATCAGCTATGTAAAATCCACTAGTTAAAAATGTACGGCATTGTATTTTTTTAATTTTTTACTTATGAAAAGTCATAATATTTTGAATATAACATTTTTAGTTTATAACAAGGAATTTTCAAAATAATGTAAATTTCCAAAATTTATTTATTTGTTTTTAATTCGAATTTTTAATTTGTACCATTAATTATAACCGGTCATGATTTAGTACGATAGTTTTTGGTTATATTTAATCACCATCAAAAAAGTGGTTGCCGCACAGGAATTAATGATCTTATCGAAAAAAAATAAAACTCAATTCCAAAATACAAGTAATCGTTTATAAACTTTTGCATTAACCATAATTTTCAGACGACATAGTTGCTAAGAATTATTTGGAGAGTTAAATAATCATGTGGAATCGATGCCGTACATTTTTCAATGACTTGAAACAATAGGGGCTAAAATAGAGGATTGTGCCCTGCATTTCTAGCCCCTGTATCAGCAGATACGTACGGCGTCACTAAAAATCTACGTATCAATCCGAAACTTGCAGTATAAATGCCGTACTATAGTAAATCACCAAAACCCGTACCAAAATTTTTCTGGTTTCCGGTATTGCTATTTTTGTACGGCATTAGGTCGAAGTTAATTTTTTTTGTATAACCTATATACTTTAGAAATGCTGTACAAAAATGTTTTGCGAAAACCACCCCCCTTGGTGGGCAAGTTTAGCTTACCTGTGTACTCTCCTGTACCAACAAGAATTGACGGCATAGTTTCTAAAGTTATTGTTATATGTGGTAGTACTGATTAATAAATAATTCATGCTGGGTCAAATGACCCCTTGATTTCCGATGGGCTTGTAGTCTAATCTATTTAAATATCTCTATAACAGAATTAAACCACGACAGTTCGAAATCAGTCTACTGTTTTGCTTTGTCCTATACGCACATTATTATAAAAAATTTTTCTTAATAGTGCTCCAGATTTGCAGATTATTCTTGAGTTTTTTTAATGTTGTAATTTTGTGTCTTCTTTTGGTTATGCATTCACTGTGAATATTTTCAATAAATGCGGAAATATCTTCTAACTTTGATGATTTTTAAACGTTAAAGTAAAAAAAACTAACTCTTACAACTAAAATCAAATTTGTCATATCAGAATAATCGCTTTGGTGGGGTAATTATTTCGTATTAAAATGTTTCAATTTAAAATACCAAGACCTAAGGGCGGTTACAAAAGTGGAACAATGGAACAATATATATTTATTTACAGCAAATTACTTATCCTTAAAAGTTTTTATATTGCATTCGAAAAATTTTAAAAATGTCTCTCGGCAATTATTGCGGGCGACAGTTTAATTAAGCAAAACTGTCCGTCCGGAATATAATTGGGTGCGCGTAATGAGCATACACACACCAAAAATTCCTCAAACTTATTTAGCCAACGTCGGGGAATGTCCCCTCACAATATGCATGGAATTTCGCTCTAACCTAAAGCGAAATACTGGGACTCGCACAAAGGGTACTCAAACCGGATAAATACCGAACAAAAACCAGTAGGTATACATATATTTACTATTCAGGCATTCTATCTTTTATTACTATGTAAATTCAAAAGCAAATTAAAACTGGAAATAAAAACTGAATCTTACCATCTGATTTTCCAAGTAGCATTGAAGAAAGTAACAGAGAGACATATTTTTTGTTTTACTCAAAAGATAAAAAAGCGTGTCTTGTTAGAAATCAACATGTGTGTATACAGATAGTCTTAGTTATGGACTGTATATTTGTATTGTACATATATTCGGTCGGAAGAACATTTTCACACTTTTCCTTTTCGTGCGAAGTAGCCCTACAGAATGTAATTTCGTAATCCTGGACGTTAATAACATTTTTATTCCATTAACGCCTCCCCAGATTCTTGAAAATTAGTTTTTAATTTTAAAACTCCCTCGAAACTCGATTCTGGATATTAAAATTGAATTAATATCGACTGGCACGTCGAAAATCCACGCCAACGCCATTTATTATTTCTATATTTAGTTTAGGAGCAATTTTTCCACAGGTAACTGAAGTTCCTAGGAGGCATATCCACAAAGAGACTCTAATGCTGTATGGTTTTTGTTGGCAACATTGCATTCGAGGACAAGGCGTTGCGAGCAGAATGCGCTTTGTTTCAGACAGTTGAGAACTGCTGTTGTAGTGGCGTGTTAAAATGTATCCCGTTATTCCGAATCCCGCCATTTCAACAATTCCTTGACTGTCGGCGAAACGTGGATGGCCCATTGCACCCCTGATACGAAAAGACGATCAATGCAGTGGCGACACCCGTCTTCACCATCAGCGAATTATCAGAAAAATTATTAGAACACATACTGATCACTTTTTCTAAAGAAATAATTAATTTTTGTTTTTAGCTCACCTCGGCTCAAAAATTGCATTGATTAATAAAAAATTAATACTCTTACTTTGTGGATATGCCATATTACTAATACCAAAAATATATTTATTATTCAAATTATCCAACTAAACTTTTTATTTATTAAGGACTTCTGCTTTAATCAGTAGCATGTAATAACCAATCACGACTATTTGAGAAAAATTTCTACAGAAATTACATTTTTGGTAAAAAATTATTGATACTACATGGAGCCGACTTTCATAAAATGTTCTTCCGATTTTTGTGTAAATAGTAATATGTTGAGTTGAATATAAAGTTATTCCATACATATATCATTTTACATATTATCTGGTCCTTGCATTCATTGCAATCTAAAAAAAGATTAAATTTATTTGTATTTAAAGATATACTGACGAAGGGGTAACAATTTGTTACTACCACTCTTTGTTAAAGTTTAATAAATATGTTTCTTTCATTAAATACTCAAAAATCCCAGGCGACAAAAGACGAATATTTATGTTGTTATTTATCACTACTTTTAATTCAGAAAACTTAAAAGTTTTACTGTTATAATCAATCAAAATTTAATTAACGATTTGTTGAAAATTTGTTAAGTCATACACCATACACAAACATCCAGCAGATGTGAAACTCACACATGATCCCTATTTTCACTGTTAACAATGTTGTTACGAAACTTCTGCTGTCATAGAGGGTAAGATTCAATTACGGATTGTTTGCAAAAGATTTATTCGCAAATGTAACATACTGCGGCATGGATTAAACCTGCTGAAAATTAAACAGATTCCGCAGAATGTCTTCTGTGATAATGAACTACCTAAACCGACACAATTATCACATTCATGCTTATTTATAACAATTTCAAACTATATTTTAACGTTTCTGGTGCTGTTCAGGCAATGCCAACGATAATCCGACTTGCACCGGCCCGCCTACATGATTTTAAGAATTTATTATTCACAAATAAACGACATGCTAACTGTTACTATACTGTACGGTTACCGTTACAATATCCGCCTTTTGGTATTGTAAATAATCGAATGACCGACCAGATGATATGTAACCACCCTGTCCTTACAACTGCCGTCGACTCGTAGGGATATATCCACAGAGAAAGACAAAAAACAACCGTACCTTCTTCGAGAGCGTCGTCGCCGTCGGACACCAGCTCGTCGTCGGAGCAGATGTTGAGCACGTTGACGAGCATCTCGGTGACCTTCTCGCCGACGAAGGGCAGCGACCACGTGAACACGTCCATGAAGTTGGGCAGCCAGTAAGGGTGCGGCGAGAAGTTGAACTGGCGGATGTTCATTACGTTGTTTTCATATTTCAGTACTGCTGCCTGCAACAGAGCGAGAGAGAGAAGGAATGATATTCAGACTGCAAAATTCGTTGAAGAACACGTTTGTTTTCTCAAATCGAATCTTGAAACCCGATTTTTTTTTAGATAAGATAATAATTAGCGATGTCAGAATTGAGCCGCGGGATATAGACGTACGCATTATTTATTAAAAAGCAACGAATTAATTGCGCAACATCCGCGCGATAACAAAGGCAACAGTATACTAAGGGGAACGTGAAAAGCATGCTGAGACAGCGGCTCACGCATGTCTCGGTTGACCTAATAATACTTAATTTAATATACTAATAGGAATTTATTTTCTTGCACAACATCGATCTTCATGAATATAAGGAATGATTATATGAGGATTTTCAAACGAAATAATTTCTACTACGCCACTGTCGCTTCTGCTAGCAGTAAAGCCGCGCCGTGTGACGAAGAATACGTTTTTCTTTGGCAAAAACTTTATGATGCATCCCCAAGCAAATCCCCCCACTTAAGCCTTAATAGAGATACTATCGCCCACTCCGATCCGTTTATCTACAAATTGCAGACGGAATTTTACCTCCCGACCAGATTTTTACGATGCAATTTACGTTGCAGCGTGTTAAAACTCCGGCGTAACCGGTTCCATTACAATTACGGTTCCCCGCGGAAAAATATATTGTTATTTAAAATTCTAGGTGCACTCCACCCTGAATAGCTTTTAGCGTTGATTAAAACTCTCCGTAAACGTATGCAATATGGGCGTTACGGCTATGCAATTCTGCAATTAAGTTTACAACCAATAAAGGACCCGAGCTGGAATAGGTTTCGATCCGGTGCGGGACGGACGCGATTGATCGCGGCGCCAGGATTTTCGGGACGATTTTCCGACGCAGATGGACACGATGGAGGAGAGATAACTGGTTATTGGGTGCATGTTGCGAGTATAACACGTCAAAAATGTATAACATGGTACTAAAAATTCATAATTGCTGCTGCTAATCATAAAATAGGTAAAAAATATAATTTTAAAATAAGTTAAATTAAAAATTAAATACATTCTATATGTGTTGCAGGTTTTTAAATATTACTATATCAATTAATTATTGATTTAAATAAGGCGTTTTGAAATAAAACAACGTAAATCAATCTACAGTTAACGGGAGCTAGCAAGACACGTTCGCGCCTGCGCCGTGCGAATAACCACACTGAACTTGACCTAGTGGGACGATGCAGGGTCGACCTAAGCTTCGCGTAATAATTCTTGATAAATTGTTTATTTTCAGGTCCTCTAATACCCCTTTAAAATATAATAGAGTAACTAATTATACTGTACCTTATTATTATAAACGTCCAAATAGTTAGGTGCGGAAAATATTGTGATTAAGGAAGGGAAGCCGGTCGTTTGACTTTTCCTATACATTCTATACCTGAAACAAAGAAAAATAAAAGGTTGTAACATTTTCCATAAAAAAAAATACGTTCAATGAAAAAATTATCATTCACATACAGTCTTGCAATTTATGGAAAACAATATACAAAATTTTGTAACTGTTTCTACGATAACTAATAACTCATTTTTGATGAGTCATTTGACAGGTTTGGTGGGAAAATGAAAGACATGGCCCGTATCAAAAATGTGTTTTAGGGCTAGCGAATTATCAGTAATTAGTAGAGTTCGGGGTTTTCGTCGGCTAGTCATAGGCGTGGTCGTCGTAAAAAAAAATAAATAAACAGGTAGGTATAAATAAAAATAAATAAATTTGCGTATTTTATCAGCGAAATGTCGTTTTTTATCACTTGGCGCGTTCGACATTATTAGAATATTAAAATACGTATACACGAAGCAAACGAGAAACCAATAACTGCCGTTATTAGCAGTGCACTGTAGCGAAAGACCAACGCGACGGCTATGATCATCCGACCGAGTCCCAAACTCTAGTAATTAGGCTTAAGATGATCCAAAATTGTCTTCCGATACTTTTGGGACGGATAGTACATAAAAAAGTATATATACTTTTTTAAAAGTCCTTCCTGATACATTATAAGCATTTTCAATTTAGGCTTAGAGCATCAAGGACGCTGATAAAAAAATGACTATTAATTTCTAGACTATTACAAAATCTTTTTATTTGGTGAACTGAAGTTTTTTCGAGAAATTCAGGTTTATAATTCGACAATTTATAAAATAAACAATCAAAAAAGAGATTTTCGAGACTGTTTTATTAATTATACAGCATGTCCTGAAATTAGCAATATATTACCAGCGCTTTCTACTATTAAAAATAAGAGAAAACGACATTTATCGACAAGGCATCTTATAAAAATAGTAAAACGGTAGAGGTACGCAAATTCCCTCCCTATCGTCACCCCTGTGATTCTGGAATGCCTAGACCAAGGTCCAACCTACACAACGACGCCAAAATCACTCCGATCAAACCACCCCTGCGCCCAGCGGTCGTGGTCGGACATTCGTCACGCTTTGAAAGTTTATGCCCCCTTATCAAATTCTACATATTTTCCTAATATGTAGCTGATTCCCTAAACATTCTCAGGGGCTCACCTTTGCGCTCATGTTCGTGCAAACCTTTTTTTCTCATTTTTAATCGTAGGATGCGCTAACAAAATCCTGCAGTTAATTTCAGGACATCCTATACAATTTGATAAGATAAAAGAAAGGTCTCCCGTCTCGGAGAAACTTCAAGCAAATTCCATATTTCGGCGCATGCGCCTATACTAACGCAAATCAAATTTACTCGGGAATCAATATAAAAAAAAGACACCTATCTGTTTCGAACCCCCGCCGGCCTCGCCGATACCGATTTAAATATAAATTAAAATACGCTACTAATTTTCCTTAATTTGTTCCCGAATTCCAGCGGCGTCGTTTTTATTCCAACTAATTATCCTCGGGATTAATCAAGTCACGATCTCACCACTACTCGAATCGCTTCCTGGAACGTTTGTTACCGCCTATATTTACTCGCTCCTCGTGGGGTTCACCTTAGGAGTCCTTCTCGATGGTGATCGATCGGTCCTCCGCCCAGGGCCTTATTTACGTTCCGATTTCGACTCGATATATAGGAGTATCGAGGAGGCTCTGCAGGGCAATATTTGTTCTCGCCTGGAGAGCTCTTTTTATAAAATATTTACCTTTCATACGGAATTCGTTAGCGAGTAACGTTTTTACAAGTCGGGGACTCCGTATACCAAATTTGAACAAACAAACAAACAAACAAAAATCGCCAACATTCCTGGGGTTCACATACAAGTTATGTTTTCAAAAAATTTGGCAACGTTTTAAATATCCAAAAAATATCATTCAGTGACAGCAGTTAAAAGCACTGTAGGGTGTACCGTTTATATCGGGAAAGGGTTCTCTCTCTGATAAAACGTCAGAAGCTTCTGCTGACGTCACTTGAGACCAAGGTTGACGAAATCATGGCATATATTGATATGAAAATTTAACTTTACGTAACTTTTTAAACACGATTCATACTTTAGCAAATGTGGAAATTACTGGTTTCAACTTGAATTGTATAATCTGTAGCTACAGTGGTGCCAATTTAGTACAAATTTGACGTTTAAGCTGATCTCAGGTGACGTCATGCGCATACCAGACGAATTTGAGCCGGCCGACGAGTACAGCACGCCTACTTTGTTTGTAATGCAAGTTTTAACGTAAGACCTAGGAAAAGTGACTTTAACTGTCGCTAGATCAGCAATGACGCAATTTCCGGTCTAAAAAGTGATTGAAAACGGACATTTCTTGGAGTGGTAGCACAAAAAGTCTATATATAAAAATATAAGAATAGGTTGAAACCGTACATACTATCAAATGCAAATAAAGTAACCTAATGGGCTGATCTTATCAACATTTAAAGCATATGTGCATGTACGTAATTTTTTTTTTGTATTGATTCAGTATTGATCATGACCGTACTAAACTTTAAATCGTTATTAAATCTGATAAATTCAACAATAATGACACTTAATATACCAAGTGTAACGATATTTAGGCACATGAACAGAGGATGGAAGATTCTACACTTTTCTGAGTGTATAGTTCGAAACAGGATTATATATTGTATAGTTGTTACGATCTCAATTGGAACCCCATAAAAACATTTAACTCATAGACGTCCAGAAAAATTTAGACCTGTCTCGTCTAGATATACTATATTCCGAGCTATATTACCATATAATTACCATACGACTGTTATGTTTTTATGTTTAAAATTATAATCAGGATAATCGCTTAATTTATCTCGAAGCATGTTGAAAGTAGGAACTTTATTTTCTTTATATTATAAATTGTGCACCGCATTACATCTGGTAAAATCGTCAATTTTCTTTCATTTTGTATTTTTCCGTTTCCTCTTTGTACCGTGATCAATCCTTCTTTATGGTCTAAATGGTCGTTTTTAATATGTTAATTAATTCGTTAATCCGTTTCCTATCTTTTTTATCACATTGTTCACTACTTTCAATTTTCAAACATTCATATATATTTAATATAATACGTTGACTTTTTACGTGTAAATCTTTGTTTTTAAACTCTGAGTTTGTTTCTATACTTTCGACAAAAACCGGTTCCACTATTTGGGGGATTTTCCAGTTATTTCGTTGTCCTCCGCTTCAAAGAGTCTCCAGAGAGCCACACTAAATTACTAGATAATTACATATAACATTTATTTTAATAACTATTAACCTTTACTGGTTACGATATGAACAAATAATATCAACTAATAAATAATAATACATACGTATTATACCAACAACATACCCCGCCAAGCAATGCTCTGCACTGCACTGGCAAAGCTAAGTGAACACGTGTACCATAAAAAAAAATATTTACGACCTAGTGGACCAATACAGGTTTGCTTTGATGACCAGCGCGCCGCCTTCAATTCTACATCAGGTGGACTAGTTTACCAATACCGGACTCGCCGAATTGCTATTCGAGTATAAATTACGAGACACATCATGGTCAAAGCATAAGAAGAAATTTCAAGAGAAGTGCATACGGTCCTGTGCTTTGAGATTTACAGGTTCCAATTGACATCGTAACAACTATACATCTCAGGTGGATATAAAAGTTTTATTCTTACGATCACCCGGTATATTTACAGATGGATGTTTCGCGCCCCCTATAAATTTTCTATAGGTCTTTCGAAACATGTACATAGGTACGCGACGTCGAAGCCATAATTCTTCGGAAACGTAACGGTAGAACTAAGCCGCGAAAGCGATACCATAAAAAAGATGTAACGCCATTAATAGGGTTTATTTTATTGTTCCTTGAAGCAACACACCACTACCGCCTTTTTACCGTAACAGTCTCCTTCAAGAAGCAGCGGCGGCACGTTGCGAGATGCGAAAGGTTCACGAATTCAAGCATTTTTAACAGCAGTATGAATTTAGAGGTTCTTGCTGGTGGTGGTAGAGATATAGCGCAACTATTTGTAGTCGTGAAAAATAATATATAACAATTCCTAGTAAACCACCCTCTAGCTAAATATATTAACAATTACCTATTACTTTAAAAAAATATTTTGATGTGTAGAACCTAGCCCGAGGACAACACTGCTGCCAATTTAAAGACTAGTAAATTTGCATTATTAATCATGAGGTAGTATTCAATGTTTGTTTAATAAATTCTTTATATTTTTTCTTACAGTTGAACAAGCTCTTTCGCATTTTTTATTCATATTTGCTTGATGACATCATTTAAAACAGCTTTTAAAACTGAAATAAACAAATAAAAATAAATAAGAAACAGTTGCAATTGCTACAGACATATTACCTGTAATTATTTAATTGTAGTAGTTTTCTGTATTATTATTATTTTGATTGGCCCCTCACCAAGTCCCTCTCGAGCCGCCACTGCGAAGGCGATAATCGGGCTCTGGCCCGGGAGCCGTTGCTCCAGATTTATGTGCCTTATTTTTGTTTGGGGAGAGAGTCTTCCGAGGTATATTACAGTCGTTAAAAACAAGCACACTGGTCGCTCTAAGAGGAAACTTTTTTATCGCCGGGAAAGTGGACATCACACTGTCACTGCCCCGGGTAGAACGGCCGTAAAGGACACGGGTTGGCCGTGACATCTCTGTTATAAGTGGGAAATGTGAAATATCTACAGAGTCCTTCATAAATATCAAACCGCGTCTGAAAAATATTTCCAAGAAAGACTTTGAGTCCTAGTACATAAATACTTTCATTAGTTGGTGTTTAAAGAGTTATTACATAGATAAAGGTCATAGGAACCAACAGGGAGATGTAAACTTTCAAAGTGTAACAAATGTTATCGAGATCGCTGGGCGCTGGGTTGGTCCGATCGCGGTGATTTTGTAGGTTAGGCCTTTCTGCGTTGATTAGAAGTAACAGTGTCATTCACTTATTCATTTTAACTTCAGGCTAATTCGCATGCATCCGTTATCAGAATTCCACGAATTCTTTAAACTATGTAAATTAGTGAATTCAATTGAACTGAGCTCAGATATTGGAAGAATTCCACACTCGGTATACATAATATTTTGTTAATGATTACCCCCTTGGCGAATCGTCTTTTTTTGACCTCGGGAATCTTCCTTTTCTACTAAAGAGGGAAATACCGTTATTCCCCTTGACTTCTGGCCCTGAGTGTTGCGTAACCGTTTCATTTAGGAGGAAGAAGCGTTCTACCATAAGCGATTCGTTAAACTTTTAATAAAACGAGCTCAGCGTAACTTTGCGAAGGAAACGGGTATTCTCTTTAGTTGCACACCTGTACCGGAGTTTTAAATGTTACGGCGTAAGGGATTATACATTATAATGTGCTCGTTGCACGAATGTACCCTGTAAGGTAATGGCGCTCGTTTTATATAAACATGAATATTAATGGGGAAAAGCGAACTTAAATATGCCGCATTCGAGAATTACTGCATGTTCTGCATGTTCCTAAGTAGACTCGTTCCCGTAGTTTAGTTTAATTCAAAAGAATTCTTAAGATTTCTATCATAAGAATACAAAATACAGGGTGTCCCAAAGTTTGCGTCTCGGGCCCATAACGTACAAACGAAAAACATCAACACTGCTGTGGAAACAATGGCTGAAACTGCTATGACAAGTCTGTTTACATACTAGTTTCTGTCAAACGCTATTTCTTGCATGATAAACAAACTAGTAAGTGGTTGCTAAAAATTAAAAAATGTTCACAAACAATGAAAAAGTTGACATGATTTTAATTTATGGTGAATGTCAAAAAAATGCCAGAAGAGCTGCTAACTTATATCATGATAAATATCCAGAGCGACAAGCTTTTAACCCAAAAATATTTGCCAGATTGGAACGAATTTTGGGTGCTAACGAAAATGCATTTTCATCAAGGAAGGGGAAAGGAATTTCAAAATCAGCGTGTAACCGTAGTTAGGGTATTACAATATTTTGAGGAAAATTCTAGAAATTCTATACGACAGACTACTTTTGCCTTAAATTTAAAAGAATGCTCTATGCAAATAATTTAGGGCTCCTGTGGCATTATTGAAATGAATTTAATTGACCCATACTTTTATGAAAATGTATTGAACGCTAATAGCTATTTACAGTTTTTGCAATGGGCCTGTAGAACGGGCTTCAAAGTCTCTAGACTTAACACCCCGAGACTATTTTTTATGGGGAACATTGAAAAATCAGGTATATAAGACACCCACGAGAAGTTTGGAGCATTTAAAGCAAAAGATTCGACATGTTCGTGAGAATCTTTCAAGAGAAACGTTGTTTAAAGCTACAGGGGAAGTTAGGAAAAGATTGGAGTTTCAATACAATAGAATACATTTTTGTATGTTTGCTATAGGAGAAGAGATAGAGAAAAAATTTATGCACAAAAATTGTTCATAAAAATTAGAAAATTTTAGTTATCATAAAAAAGTTGATGATGATGATGATCATTTTATTATTTTCCGAATTTTGAAAAAAATGTTTTGAAGTGCAAAACGGACCTTAGCGAGTCCCTAGTCACGCCGTATAAACAGATTTTTACTGTCGCTTTTCGTTTGTCCGTTATGTGCTCGAGACGAACTTTGAGACACCCTGTATACAGCATATACAAGTCTCAAGAAACCAACAGAAGAAAGACTGGACTGGAAAAATGTATAGTCCAAAAAAATGACAGCAAGGAGTGACGAAAATAGTGACAGAAAAACTGAAGAAATAAAATACATTAAACTAATACGAAGAGACAAAAAACAGAACAAAACAGAAATTGTTGGCAGCAAAAATGGGATAACTTTTTAAAAACTGTTTCAAAACATCAGTAAATTTTTTTTTTTTTTTTGCTTTTCGAACTTTATAAGTTACACCGATTTACCCTTAACGAAGACGAATTTTCTGTCCCTAAAGTTGAGAGAGACAACTAGGTACTGATTATTTAATTCCCCAAACGGCTTAACATGAAACTTTTGAATAAATAAATCGTCCGTTTCAATTAACTTGGCAATGAATAGCAAATTAATTGGAATCGGTTACATCATTAAGATAAATACCAAATCGGAGAAGACTTAGCAAATGAGGTATTAAAATCGTGGACAATTCTAAATGTGTCGAGGATTTATCACTAGAATCATTTTTTGATATGTTGAGTGGAAATATACTAATTTAAATTGTATGTTTTCAGGAAATAAACTACGATACCAACATTGACTCACATACATCTAGCATAAAACAAAATAAAAAAATACTTACCCCGCATCTTGTGCCTCATGTGCTCTAATTATTGACAGAAGGTTATTATTTTGTAGGAAGTCACAGCAAGCAGCGTAGCTGCAACAAAGAAAGAAAAAAATTCAATATAAAACACTAGAAAAAATTATGGAAATTTACATGTTTTACAAATTTGTGTAACTTGACGTAACATTTTTTTTAGTGTAATAATAATTTTCCATAATTTATTAAATTATTCGGAAATTTTGTAGTATATTTGACTTCAGTAACCTATTTCCAACTGAAAAACGGGTTGGTAAAATGATTAACTACAAACGGTGCCAGCGAAATGATAAAAAACTTGCCCCGAATGCATCATCACTTACAAAAGTGCTGTTGAAACTTTACATATAAATCATAAACTTGTGCAAAGTAAAACATCGGCGAATTTAAAGTCCTTCATAGACATTCCCTGGCGTACTAAAATGACTTCAAAGCCGAACTAATAGTGATTTATAACATACACTGCAAAAAGAACTATTTGAAGTTACTGATTTGACTAGGTCTTATGTTATATTTAAACGAAATTTCAACTTTATTTCTCAAAGGCCCAAAACATCGTAATTGTGGTCATTTCCCATAAACCCCAAAACCTCGAACTATGAGGGTACCACAAGGATGTCAAGTTAGACTCTTTATAAATAAATATATTTAAAAAAATTGCAAATGGTTTGTTGCACTGGAGATAAAACTTCAACTACTCCATTTGTTTAAAATAATATGTAGAGGAAGGGAAAGTATATTATTACACTGAGAGGAAAAATCGTTTCTGTTACTGACCTGTAGAAATATGAGCAACCCCTGACGGAGTTGTGTGAGAAATGTTCTGCGTTGTTCTCATTGCCGAAGTCTTCTAGAGGGTCCGACCACAACAGATCACACATTGGGCCGAATGCCGGTGGTTCCTTAAATCTGTCTAACTGCAACAAAAAGAAAATTTGTGCAAATCCGATGTAATTGTTGGTCAAGAAGTATTACTTTTAAACGGGAAATTGGTCTGGCTGATTTATAATGTTAGTTATATTTTGAAACAATATTAAAATATATTTATCTTTTTTCAACTTCAGACTGTAAGTAAAACATCTATTTGTTTAAGATTTTCATTTTATGATAGGTACCGATATAATTTTTTATTCCTGTTCTCCTCCAGAAGTCTTATATTACTTTCTTTTATTAAATCTTAAAAAAACTCGGAACAATTTTAAATGCAAACCCTCCCACTGAAAATGTTATTACTTTTAAGCGTACCCCAGCAAAAAAAGAACAATTTTAATCTAAACTTTATTATTCTATATTAGCTCATCTGACCACAGTATTCTTCGCTACACTGATCTTCGTATTCTGGAGATCTTTTAAAACCATCCCGTAACTTTTGTGAGGACCACGGGTTATATATATAAAAAAAATACAACGCACTCATAAAAATTTGTGTGTACAAGGTCTGTTCAGAAAATAACAGAACTTTTTGAATCACGCGATAATGGAAATATTTAGTCCAGTGGTGGCTCGTCGTATGAAGCAACTGAGGTCGCGCCTCACTGTCACACCGTATATTTTAATACCTACTATTCTTACCTAGTACTCTACTTAACCTCAATAAACAGGTAAACTAATTTCCAACTACCTATTACATTTATCAAAAATCAAAATAACAGCATAAAAAAATTGTTTGAATATTGGAGTATCAACAGTGAGGCCAGAGATTCTTTGCTTGTAAGCGCGTCACACTTGCCTACAATACGCTACAGTTCCCCCTCCACGCGAAGCGGTTAAAATAACGTGATTTAGGAGGGGACTGAGGCCGCCTCAAAGCTGCTTATAGTTTTAGTCATATGAGTAACTTTTAATAAATAGGGCGGACCGAACATGCATTCACTGAGGACATCTCGCGTTGTTGTGGCAAAACATTGTCCTTTATAGAAATTGTTAAACATAAATCTGCAACCACAGATCGACTCTGTATTCCAATCTTTCAATCAACAGAAATAGAATGTTTGAGGTTATATTCAGATAGGTTGTCACGTTTTGTGCATTAATAAATTTGTTTTGTTTTAGATTTATTTAATCAATCATCTGAACTGCCTTACTGTATTTAGTTCTACCAGATAAACGAGTTTATCTGGTAGAACTAAACGTCAATGTTGTGCTCCAAATTGCAAAAGCACTTACTACATGAAAGTGTGTAAATTGTGTAATACGTCTTGTAGAAATAAAAGTTTTTTCAGGATTTCAAAAGACATCCAATTAATTACTGGGAATAGAATCAGTTCGAAAATTACGTAAATCAGACTTTACTCTGACAAACACATAATAAGAATAGTCTCAACAGAAGTGCTGTGCCGACATTATTTTTAGGATCGACTACAAGTTCACCTATTATTTGTAATAATATCACCTCAGAATCCTCGGATAGTATAGAATATTCAACAAAACAATTTGTTAACGTAACATTACAAAATTTTCAGAGTAACCACCTTTTAAAAAACCGAAATACACGTATTCAAAATTGTCATTTCCTATAAGGGTTACTGCGAGCACCAGTGCCATTATTGAGATTACTGGTAGCAAGTTGAATGAAGCGAAATCAAATACTGGTCATGTACTTTCGGAAATATACAAATTGTTTTGTCCAGTTTAAACAATTCCTGCAGCAAGTGTCTCGGTAGAAAGAAACTTTTTGTGTCTTAAGCGCATTAAGACTTAGGAATACGATGACACAGAGCGCTTAAACAACTTCAGTGATGACGATAGAAAAAGAGTTATTGCAAAGTCTTACAATTAGTGCCTATCCTCAATTTTATGAAAACATAAGTAAATTTGCAAATTTAAAAGACGAACGAATAAACCTGTTTTTTAAAAACATACACTCTTTTTAAAATATTTTGTTAAAAGTGGAGGCAAACGAAAAGCTGGCGGCGTTGGTTTATCTGTAAATAGATAAGTTGGCTGGCTACCTTATGAAAATTTGTTTTTATATTTTTTAATATTCATAAATCAGGTCGCAGGGTTCATAGTTCAAAAATAATAAGGAATTCCCTGACTTTTCCAGGTTTTCCCTAACTTTAAAAAAAATCCAGGTCACTTGTAGTTAATTTTTACATACTAATTGGTGTTTATGCATTATACTTTTTCTCGACTGGACTCCATAATGTTTTTTATACCCAAAGAACCTCTTATAAAGGTTTCAAAACCACAAATAGTTTTCTCTTTCAAGAACCCAGGACCGGCTTTCACAAAATTTCCAGTTGCAAACATCAAATTCCCTGACTTTCATGAATATTTTAAAAATTCCCGGATTATTATTCCCTGTTTTTAATGAAGAATAACGAATTCCCCGACTTTTCCCGGTATTTCCGGTTTTCCCGGCCGCTACGAACCCTGGGTAGGAACATTTTTTTTTTAATTATTAAGTAAATACGAGTATATCACTTTGTTTTTTCCTGTTACTTAATTTTATTGTAAATACAATTTTTAAAGTTCTGATATTATTATTAATAATACAATTTTTTAATTTACGGTTATAGTAAGACTATTGTCGAAAATCGCCATAGTAAAAAATGATAAGGAAATTTATTCCTATTTGGATTAATAAAATACCTATCCAAATAGTTGATTATTTTTTATAAAACCTGAACGAAAATCCTGCTTGTGGCCATCAGTTTTTCTTAATATTGTAAATGCAACTAAAAATTTCTAGATGCATTTAGTCGTTTGACCTCGAAAATAAAAAAAATTGATCCACTGTTTTACAGACTGATCTTTTTGTCGCAGCAAGAGTTATTTATAAGAAAAAAATTACTTGTGACAAAAATAACCAATTATAAAAGAACAAAACAAGAACACTACTACGTAAGCCTAACAGATCACTGCATTTAAATGTAAAAAACATGTTTTTTCCACGTCGGTTTTCTCCCAGTGAGATCCGCCTTCTTCATAGACCCATTTCCTCTAACTAGGTCAATAAAGTTTGCCGATCAACAAGAAAACTTATCATAGACAATCGGAGCAATATAACAGCACTCCCCGTCGCGATAATGGCCCATCCAGCGAGCATCCGAGATCGAATGTCCTAAATTCCGTCGCGAAGGAGGCCATCAGCGAATGAAAGGCATTTCTTTCTGCTTTCCCAGCGGAACGTATCCGTGAAAGCGAAAGATTTAGAGGAGGGCGTCTGGCATTTGTTTGTGCGATAGGACGGAAACGAGCGAGCGTTTCTTTTTAGGGCCTCGGAACGGGCAAGGGGCGATAGACCATAAACATGTGTTATAGGTTAACGGGGTTATAGATGATTTTCAATATTATCGAATCGGAGAAAGTGGCGACCCACGAAAAACAAGTGCTTTACGGTCAAGACGCTATTCCAAGACTGTTTTTAGGTATTTTGTTTTATTTTGAAGCGGTTTTTACGTACTTGGTGTCTCGTAAATCTAATTTGAAGTATTTGCTTTATCATCATGTTACACAATTTCGAATTCTCAACTTGAGAAAATCAAATAAACAAAAATTAGTTATTTCTTCCGTTATAATTTTGTCTGCGATAATTGGAGAAAGGTAACTGCCCCGATCTCATCTGAACCGCCTCCGTCAACCCACTTTTTCTCCAATTACCCTATGCGCAATACGTGGGGGAAGATAAAAGTTTACAAACCGCAACTCGAACGGATCCCAACTGGAACTGTGAACTCACACCCGTGTGATACAAACTTCGCAGCAGTACGATAAATTAGAGGCGCTTAACGAGAGTGGAAAACGAGCCGCAAAGTGGATCAACGTGAAATGTAGCTGGCGGATTTAGTACTGCTGATACAAGCTAACAGCGGCGGCTCGTGTACCCCTTATTTTGGGGGTGAAACTTGGATCCTTTCTTCTGGTAACCCATTCGAATGTAAAAGGGATCATAGTTTCCTCGCGTCTGTCTTGCAGCATCAGGACATGCGCACACTGTAATGCGACGTAGCCAAGTTGTGTTGATTATCCGAGTTCTGCCTATTAATTTAAATGATAATATTTAGGAAGAAGTTAATCTTGTGTGACCTATATCGTATAGTTTACCACTACATGTACAGTCTAACTGTTTCAAATGCAACAATTTTTTGGAAATACATATGTTAGTTTTCCTACAAAAACTTTAGCCGACAATGTTACAGTTGTTGTATACCCAAATATTTGTATGCAAATTATTTTAATTGTGCAAATTATTTTTTAAAATTTATGTTTAGTTGGAAACAGGCATCAAATGTAATTTATCTGCTGCAATATAATAAATAAACTATTAATACATTGTTTTAAGGAAGGTCTCTTGATTGCTAATACATCAACTCCTATATTAGCAGTAATGTTGCCGAAGTTCTTCGGAATGAATGGCCTGTACATGTTTCAGGATGTTTTAGTTTCAAAAACTGTGCAATCTTATTAGGAATCATAGAAAGGGTATTCTTGCCGACTGGTTGGTTGTAACATCTACCTGCTTGATAGCGCATAAAATGCGAGAAATTTCAGTTTTCATTTCCAATCTAATTTTGATATATTTCTTGAAAATTTCTAGGTGAGAAACAGAACCCAGACGAAAAGTAATTGTAAAAGTACGTAACATACCATTTTTAGAATCTGGAATTGTAACTACAATGTCATCGAAATTTTTCAAATTGACGTCCAAAGTAAGTTTGCATAACTCATCAGAACGACGTGCTCGTCCGTAGCACACTTTCGACTTATCGGGCAATAAAAATTTGCAGGGGCATTTGCTGCACTTTCTATTTGAAAATCACTCATTTAGAAATAATAATTCAAAACCAGCAAATTTGCAACTTTTATGTAGCTTTGTTTATAAATACATACCCTAGAAACGACAAAATTCAAACAACCAAAGCGACCTTGCAAGATTTGGAATAACGTCAAAAAATTGATTAAGAAATGTTAA